ACTATGGGGATGGTAGAGACATTCTCTTGACTCTGGGGCTGAATGAAAATGAGCAGTAAGTTTGGGGGCATGTCTCAGGGGCTTTAGGGTGAAAAAGGAGCAAGTTTAGTTCCTGTATGTATAGTACATCTCACCCTTCTCCAAGCCCCGATTACTTGGATAATTGACTCCACTCATTCCACTCACTTCCAGATAGACTGAGGTCAGCATCTTCTCTCCCTCAGGAAGACTGTCTCTCATCATTTGTAATGCAGTTAGATTCTTTTGTCAGTCTGCATTGCATCCATGATCTAAATATTTTCGTAAATTCACATACATCAAATTCATTCCTTGTGCTGTAAAGTTCTGTGGGTTTTGACAGATGTATTGCATTATATCAGCATCATGCAGAAGTTTCCCTGCCCTGAAAACTCCCCCATGCTTCATTTATTTAATCCTCTTCTTCAAACCCTGACAGCCACTGATCTGCTTACTGTCTCTATAGTTTTACTTTTTCCACATCTAGGTCCATTTACCGAGGAAAAACTGGGTCTCCCAATTCCTCCCAGTGAAGGAGAAAAGGATGTATACAGATAGATGTCTGCTGGTACAACGTGGACAGAAAAAAAAAATGGTTTGGGATCTCATTACTCAGACGGTTTCAGAGGCTTTGGGGTTCAGTCTCTCCAGAGAATAAAAATCCATTCTCTAGTAGGGCTGATGGTTGGCTGGTCTCCCATTGCTCTGGGTGGAGGAGCACATATGATGCCTGCTTTTTTATATAGACTTTTAGCTCATCTCCCATTTTTGGTTCTATGTCTTGCCTCTTGCTCTTCTAAAGTATCAGGGCCTCCAGTTCCTGAGCATTTTTAAAGTTAAAAATGCCATTGCTCTTTTCTCAACAAAATCATGGTCTGCAGTCACTTATGCCTCAGTGTTTCCTCTACTAAGCTAGTCTCTGTCAGCTTTCTGTCTTCCAAAATTATGTTAAGATTTCTTATTAACCACTGTTTCATTTCTCTTTTCCTTGTGGGTTTACTCCATGTTTAACCAGAAGTCTTGTTTGCTTTTAGAAGGTTACTATTTTGTGCAATTGAGATTGCCACTACTCTAAAAAATGTTAAAAGCCACATGAATTGCATTATCTTGTATGACTAGTTTCTTCTTGATATGTATTTTGCAAATACAGCTCTTTATGTAGTTGTGATTAAAATAATCGTGTGCAGGGATCCCTGGGTGGCTCAGCGGTTTGGCGCCTGCCTTTGGCTCGGGGCGCGATCCTGGAGACCCGGGATCGAATCCCATATCGGGCTCCCGGTGCATGGAGCCTGCTTCTCCCTCTGCCTGTGTCTCTGCCTCTCTCTTTCTCTCTCTCTCTCTCTCTCTGTGACTATCATAAATAAAAAAATAAAAAAAATTAAAAAAAATAATCGTGTGCAAATAATTTCTTCATGGGCATTCCCAATCCTCTCTTGGGCAGGAATAAACCTATAAAAAATGATCAGTAGCATTCTTTTGAAACTTGCTGAAGTTAACATTTCTGCTTCATTTGTGGTTGCTCCCATAGAGACACCATAGTAACTGTAACTGTTGTCAGGGTTTGGAAATTTCTACATTGACTTTCCTGTATGGAAATTTGCTCTCTCACTCTCTTATTCTTTTGCAGCAAGTGGCATGTCAACAGGTTGGACTGATTTATATTTGGACACCTTAATTTTGGATTTATCATGAAAAAGAATATGGAACAGAATTCAAGATCTATTTTGTTTTTTTTTTCCCCCTTTGCCCCAAGATGCATTTTCTTTGGTAACAGGAATAGAACATTTATAAAATTCCTAATCATTCCAGTAATTCCAATAAATGGAACTGGTACCTTCTAATGGTTTCTGGTTGTTTCACTGAATGCACTGAAAGGGCTGTGTGCATTTTTTTATTCTAAGGGACCAAATGGGATGAAATGAAAGGGCAATCTTAAGAAGGGGTCCCTAGCCAGGTGAAGGCTTAGATCAAAGAAATGCTTTTAATGTGCCCATCATGGGCCACATAGATTCTCTTATGTGATCTCATTTACTTTTATTCTCAAAATGACCACTGGGGTAGCCATGAACCCTTTATAGGTAGGAGCCTGGAGCATTTGTCTTCAGTGAGGGTGGAGCCAAAGTGGGATCCCAGGGCATGTGCACTTTGCTTTGTGTTTTCTGGGGCTTTGGGTGGCTTTTCTTGGGTCCCACATTTCCCTATGCTTTCTTTCCAGGTTAGTGAGAGTCTGTATAACACAGTGGTTAAGCATGGACTCTGAAGCCATACTTCCCACATTCAAATATTTATTCCTCTATGTTCCAATTGGCCCCATGCCTCAGTTTATCTACCTGTAAGTTGGAGAGAATGAAAATGATAGTTGCTCTGGGAATTAATATTGTAAAACTCTTAGTATACACTATACAAGTATTTACTAAATAAGTGGATAAATTCCATTAAACTTATAGTCCTCCTACCACGCTCAGTACTTGAAAGAGAGCAGATACTATCTTTAGGAGAGAGTTTTATGGAAATAGAGATGTGTACAGAAGTGAGAGAGTTTTCCTTCTTACATGGGAGATTTAAGTCAGACTGGTAAGATCCTTTAACCAAAATTACAGCAGTGCCAACTCTCAAACGAATTATCTTAAAATCTAAGTGCTTATAAGACTTGCACCCAGTTATCCTTGAATGACTATATAGAAATTTACTAAGAGTGAAAAATTCCAAGGATTGGACTGGAATAATCAGATTATTTTGTTTTTATTCTATAAATGTTTATGATCCTTATAATTGTTAAGCTCAGTTTAGTTGTCTTACTCAGACCTGGAATGGAGATACTGATGTGCCGACATTAGAAACAGAATGATGTAACAGATGAACATCCTCTGATATCATCTGCCTGATTAAAATTCCAAAGACTGCCTATCTGGTGCACACAGTAGCCATGAGATTGTAGAGACCTTTGATTATGGCTTTGGGTCTTTTTGTCCACTGGCCATTGTAGTCTTTTATCCCAAGGGTGAATAAATCAATGGCAGTTGGTGCCATACTGCACCTCAAAGGTTACTTTTTAAATGGAGGAATTAAGACAAGTATTGTTACCACCCGTGGGCAGGTGACCTGCCCCAGGGTGTTATCCACAGCCTGTATGGACCCGGGCTAGCATGTCTGTGTCAGAATACCAACAATTCCACATGGTTTGGGGAACTGAATAGTTTGAGCAACTGAAGGTTAACCTGTGTTTGTTTGTATAATAGACAAAGTAAAGGAGCTAAAAGAAAGTTCATAGTCTGAGGGGTAAACAGGCTGGAAAGGATAGGGTTTCTCAATCAGGAGACAGTTTTATATCAGCATGAGGACAGTATCTAGAGTAATTTTAATCAAACGCCATGCTTACACTGGACTTCCAGTGGCCCATACATATGGTGGACGGGTAAAGAGCTCTGGCTGGAGAATTGGTGGCTTCTGAAGAGGCAACAGTTGGAAGTTCTTTCACTAGGCAAGTGCTTGGTAATCATTTGATTCATGAGACTGTGCAGTAGAAAAGCAAATAAAGCTGAGTCTGCTAAGCTGACAGGGAAAACACGTTTCTTCCCTTGCATTGAAGAGCAGGTGCTATGTAGGAGTAAGAAACATTGGGGTGTTCAGCAAACTTGTGTTAATATCTGGTCTGTTGCTAAATTTTAGGAAGCCTGTGGTTAATATTTGGGAAGTTATGGTTAGGAATTCCTTCGTTATTTCCCCTCACTGAGAAGACCCTGTTGGAATGATCTCTCTGTATTTAGCTATCCGAGTAATGGGAATTCTTGACAGTACCCGACAGAAAGCTGTGCTATTAATAGTTTTCAGTTGATTACTGCACAGAGGAAGAAGGGAGGTGATATGGCATATTGGTTATGAGCTGGGCCCTGGAATGAAACTTCTGGGTTTGATTCCTCATTGTACCATTTATAGGCTTTGTGATTTTGAGTAAGTCACTTACCCTTTTAGGGCCTCAGTTTCCCCATCTATGAAATGGGTACCATAAGTGCTCCATCCTTGCTAGCTACTCTTGTTAACACCATTGTTGTTACTGATTTTGTTAGCTGACCAATGACTGTGGGAAGAGTCCAAGGTCCACTGTACTCACATATCAGCCCTTTTCTGGGTCCTCACATCAGGTATGATGAGTGAGATGAGTGAGTAAACCACATATCTTTGTGATATGAGACATTTCCTGTCTGTGACTTCAGACTTTAGTTTTTCTCTACAGTGGCAGCTTTCTGGTGAGCACCCGTGACTTCAATTCATCTTCTCTCATGGATATTTTTTCCTGGGTCACTACCTGTACAGTCAAGGTTTGCTGGCTTATCATTGTGAATAGATAAATTTTTATCAGTGCTTTTTCATTACCACAGGCTATTAAGCAAGAGATCTGCTCTGTCACAAAGGGAGGGATTTGCCCCAACATTCTTGAAGTCTCCCTGAGCAGGGCAGTGTTTAGTCTTAATTAAGACAGTGCTGCAGAGGGGCAGGGAGTCAGGAGTTATATCCCTGGGCTGAGAAGAAAAGGACTCAAGAGAAAAGGCTGAGACCAGGCACTTGCAGAGCAGCTCAGCTGGTTGAAAGTTGGCTTTGTTTAACGCCCAACTTCTCAGAAGATTTTCCTCGGCTGAGTGGGCTTGGTGGAGCACTGGCTTGAGAGTGTTGCTTAGCAACGAGATTTTGTGGCACTCAATTTTCAGAGTCAAGCAACCCATCCCCTGCCACCCCTCCACCAGCCCTCAGCTACCATCCCAAGCCTCCTATTAGACAATCAAGTGTATGCTGGAGGGAGGGACCGGAGAGAGGGGGCAAAGTTTAATCATTGAACCCTAAGCAGCCTGGAAGTATTTAATCTGCAGCACCTAGTTCCCGGAGGCCTCCAGCCTGAACTGGAAGTGGGCAGCTCTCCAGAGACGAGGGAGTAAATACTGCACGGAAATCTCTGCCCATCTCCAGAGAAGCCAGACTTGGAAAAAATGTTTGCAGTACACTTGATGGCATTTTACTTCAGCAAACTGAAGGAGGATCAGATCAAGAAGGTAAGGACTCACAGAGCTGAGAGAGCACCGATTCATTCTTCACTGGTAGAACTAACTGATACTGTGCTTACATCCAAAAGGATTTAAGAAAGCTTAAGAGAAAAGACACAGGGAGCACAGGACCAGTAAAGAGCTCATGCAGTGGGGAGAGGAAGTGAGTCGTCGTCCACCCCCCCCCCCCCCTCGGCTCAACATTACATATTGTCCTGAGCCTTGCATTTCACTTGGCACTATCCTGGTAGATAGGGGATGGGAGGGGATGAGGAGAAAGTCTTCAGAAAGGTGGAAGATGATTGTGTTTGATACAAGGGGAATTTGGGGGGGAAGGCTACAAAGGAGGGGAGAGAAATTTTGAGAACTTTTAAAGTAATTCACATGATTCTTCGTATGCTTGAAAGAATTTAGCATGGGAACTAAGGGTGTGGGTTTTAATGTACAATAATTGAAATATTTATTATTGGCACATGCTGTTTGCCGATGATAGGCTGTTAATGGCGTGCATTATTTTGTCACTTTGCTCAAGAAACGTCTCCACAAAATTTGTTCCAAGGTAGGCCACTTAACAGTTGCCACGGCTCAACTGGAGCCCATCAGCATTGTCCTTTGGCAGCCTAGAGTGAGCTCAGCCTGCCATGCTAGCCACTCCAGCTGCCAGTGGCAGGGCTCTGGGCACTAGTGTCTTTCAATTAACAGATAATAGAAGTCATCTCAGCAAGCCGACTTAGCCAAGGTCACCCAAGTATTTCAGGTGGAGTGAGGATTAAACCCACGTCTCTGACTTCCCTAGCATTCTTTCCATTGTGCCATGATGCCTCCTGGCTTTAGAGAGAAAAAGCATGGCCCCTTAACAGCCCTCTTGTGCTTGGTGGGGTAAGCCTTCACTAAATTCTATTCATCAAAGATTTGGGTTAGAAGTTATAGCAAATCTTAAAATATGGCAAATCAATCTGATTGAAGCTGTCTTAAATTTCATATAGTGATTCGATTCATGGAGTCCTCTGCCAGCTTCTTAAGGAGGTAGAAAAATCCTCTTCACCGCACTGCTGAAGGATTCACTTTCCATTATTACTTGCTTAGTAAAGAGGAAACCTGCGGTGGTGTCTCTCTAAACCTCCAGGGGGCAATCTTTGGAAACTTTACCTTTGGTTCTGCGAATTAGTTTCATGTTCTTGGGCCCCTTGGTGGTGATTAACCTTTTTTTACATTCTAGAATCAGGGAGATGTGTTTGTCTACCAGCTCAGGTACAGGCTTAGGAGGGAGGTTATGCTGCCTCCACTGATTTGTTCCAGGTCCTCTGGGAGGATGGTCAGCCTTTGTCAAGGCCTGACGTTGGCCCTCCCCTCCTTCAAGAAAGCTGAAGAGTGAGCTGAGTCAGGATAGTCAGGAGCACTGGTAGCCACTTCAAGCAACAGGTGTCTGAGATAGGATGGGCATCTGGTTTATGGGTTGCTGGATGAATCATGGGTTCTGAGAACACAGGTCCATGTACTCTTCCATGTGGTGAAAACACACCTGGTCAAAAGGCACAGGCCCTTTCTCCAGGGTCAGGTAGCTGTCCCCTCCTTAGTTTCTGTACTTCCTGCCTCCAGGATTGTCAAGACCCTGGGCTATACTTTGCTTGTAAGGGTTACTATTCAGACCCTGGACCAATGTTTTAAAATCTCCCTATACCAACATTAAAACAAAGACAAAACAAAATAAAGAAGGAAGGAAGAAAGGAGGGAGGGAGGAAAGGAAAAGAAAGGAGAAGCCACTCTGGTAGCTTCTTTTCCAGTTCAATATATTGACATTATTTGACCTATTGATAATGTTGGGCTGAGTCTGGTCATTGACCTGCAGATTGTTCACTCATAGGAGAAGGACTGGCTAGGTTTTCAGTGTGTACTTTTTACAGTTGAGTAAGTCAGCATTACAAAAAGGGGAAATGTTACCTTTAGTCCCACCCCCCTCACAAACACTGTCAGATCTGCCCTGGGGAAGCCTTTATAGTATGTTTTTACAATTATACTTATAATTCTGAATCTTGTTTCTTTCACTTATTGTTATATTGTAACCACTGATGTACATTTGTCTCATTTCTTCATAATTACCATTCTGACATCTTCTAATATTCAGTCAAGTTGGGTATACTATAATTCAACCTTTTTCCTCTTGTTGGACTTTTGGGTACTTCCCCCTCCCCGCCCCAAATTTTTATTTAAATTCTAGTTAGTTAAGCTAACAGTGCAATATTGGTTTCAGGAGTAGAATTCAGTGAGTCATCATTTACATACAATACCCAGTGCTCATCATAACTCGGCTACTTTCAAAAACACTTTTTTTTAAAAAATGATTTTATTTATTTATTCATGAGACACACACACACACACACACACACAGAGAGAGAGAGAGAGAGAGAGAGAGGCAGAGACATAGGCGGAGGGAGAAACAGGCTCCCTGTAAGGAGCTTGATGCGGGACAATCCCAGACCCTGGGATCACGCCCTAAGCCAAAGGCAGATGCTCAACAGCTGAGCCACCCAGGCGTCACCTCAAAAACACTTTTTAGCAATTAAGATATTGCTTTGAAAAACATAGGAATGTGTTTAATGTTCTCCATCTTTGGGATGATTATAAGGCTAGATTCCCAGAACTGAAATCACTGGGTCAAAGAGGTGAACCCTTTTATGACCCTCAATTCATATAGGACCTTTGGACAGAGCGGTTCATTTCTGGCTGCCACATTCTGTCATTCTACAGGTCTGAGCTTACATCTTTGAATTTGCTCTTCCTATGTTAGATGCGCTGCTCGTAGCCTCTTTTGTTTAGAAGATATCTCGTCTTATGGTTTCAGAATCTTTTCAAAATTGTGCTTGGTTTTCTGCAATTCCAACACACCCTCCCTTAGTGCCTGCAAAGAATGTGCCTGGCTACCCAGGCCCCAGATCACCTGTTTGGATTTAAAATAGAGCTTTTCTTTTGCCCCAACCTATGTTTCATTCTTCCCTTCTAGCTACTGTACCAGGACCTGTAGGAGGTACAGAGAATAAACAAGAACTGTTGCTAAGTTGATATTCTTTCTGTCATGACTCTAACTTACTGAAACAGCAGGTGCAGGAACCCAAAGTCCTGAATGACTGTTAAACTGCCACTGGCAAATGACCCCAGCAGGACCTCAAAACCATGATGACACTATGGGGATGCTGGAGACATTCCCTATACTCTGGGGCTGAGCGAAAATGAGCAGTAGGTTTGGGGGCATATTTCAGAGGCTTTGGGATGAAAAAGGAGCAAATTTCCTGAGTAGTTCATCCCAGCCTTCCCCAAGCCCTAATTACTTTGGATCACATCCCTTCCATCAGTTTTCTCCATGTCTGTGGCTGTGCCAACCAATTAGTCATAAACAGACACAGTGTGAACAGGAAGCCCTTAATGAAGCATGACCTGGTTCCATCCTATCTCCTCAAATACACTGAAAGCCCAATTGTCCTTTTTTTGTTGTTGTTAATGGCTCTCTGATAGTTTTCTGGCCTCTTGCTGGCTCCTGAGTCCCTGGAACCATGAGCCATTTCATTGGCTTGGGTCTCTGATTGGCCCCAGGTTGCACGGGAGGGATTCCCTGCTCACTAGGCCTGGCTGATGGCTATGATAAAGGTCGTGTGGCCCCATTACTTTGGGTGTAATGTCCCTGTTAGGCTCCTGCATGTTGCACAGAACTGTGACACAAAGCCAGGCTGTGAGGTGCGGGGTATGGAGCCTGCATTCTAGTTCCAGTGCACCACTCACCTAGAGCTGTCCCACTGCTGCGCCATGGCTCTGAGCCTTGGGGTCCTCACCTCTCAATTAGAAGCAAAAAAATTCTGGCCTCACCTGGCTGCCTCAAAGCAATGTCAGGGAGATTAAATGAGGTCATGTTTGTGAGAGCACTTTGTAGACTTCAACAGAAGTTCTTAGTTTTAGAGAGAAGTGTGGGAGAGTGATTCCTCCAGGAATGTGCTGGGATCAAGTCTCCTTGTGACCAAGATGGGTAGAGAGGCTGCTCAGTATGTGTATAAAGCAGAAGCTGCAAACACAGGGCACCTATGCCACCCTCCCCGCTCCTGCCCCATCAATAATCATTCCAGTGAGCCCTCGGAATCCAGGCTGCCACTCCCAAAAGATTAGCTTTAGCACGAGGTGGAAGTTGTTCTGCCATTTCTGATAGGACAAACTACCTTCAAGTGGACTGAGCATAGCCATCGTGATTTTTATACCTTCCCTCCATTAGGGTAATGGTCCTTTGCCCCAGCTTCCTGGTTACTTGAGTGCCATTCACCCATTTCCAGCAGCAATTTGAGCTGGCTTTAAAAATTAAATTTCATCTTAATTCAAACAACTTCAGTTAAAAACAGAATGAAAATTTAAAGAACTAGAATTTACAGATTGCAATTGGAACTGAATTTAGCTCTGAGCTTCCTAGCAGCCCATAAACAAAAGGAAACAAGCTTGGATATGTATTGTCATCGCTGGAAAAGAAAGGTTCTATGCTTAGGAATTTAAGGTTCAAGCTAGTCTTTTGCAGTGGAGAGGCAATGGGACTGTGGTACAGGCCCTGAACTGGAAATTAGAAACCCTGAATCCTTTGTAGCTTTTGCCCCTCTATTGTCCCATCAGAAAAATGGGAGAATATTTTCTTCTTCACAGCTTGCCCTTCAGGGGAATAAATTCCTACCTCCCCTCCCAGCCTTCCATTCCATTCTACCCTTCCAACCTCCCACCTTGTCTCTATCTAGCTTCGTGAGGGGTCAGGCAAGGAACCTTTAGGATTCCACATCATGAAGCTGTCCCCAGGGTCAGAAAAATAGCTTTACGATGAGTGTGGGAATTAACAGCCCTGACTGGAGGATCAGCTTCCCTAGCAGGCAGCTGTGGTCACCCCGGAATCTGTTCCAGGTGGACAGGTTCCTGTATCACATGCGGCTCTCCGATGAGACCCTTTTGGACATCATGGCTCGCTTCCAGGCTGAAATGCAGAAGGGTCTGGGGAAGGACACCAACCCCACAGCCTCTGTGAAGATGCTGCCCACCTTTGTCAGGGCCATTCCAGATGGCTCAGGTGAGTGGGGCTAGGGGTTGCCAGGGACCTGATCCCACTGGTTTCTTCTTGGCTGATGAGTATTTCAAGTTTGCTCCTGTACCCTGGTTTACCTCTTTAGTCCTCTGTGCACATTCCTCCCCAGCTCCCTATGCTTCAGTCTATTGAGTACCAGAAGTTTTGAACCAAAGTTCAAATGTACCCTGCTTTTTCTCTGCTCACCTTGGCCCCACACATTTTGTTTATTCACTTGCTGGAGCATCCCAACATTCTTCCCCTCCTGAACACCAACTTAGCTTTCAGTCTCAGGGTAGAGGTTGTCTCCATCCCATGCTGGGTTAGGTGTTTTTTCTATTACCCTGCCATGCCTGAATTTCCCTACTGGCCCAACGCTCCCTAAGGGCAGGGTTTGTGTCTTCTTCACCAGAGTGTTCTGAGCACCTAGCATGGTGCCTGATACATCCTAGGACCTGAAATATTTGTTGAATGGATAATGAATGGTATTTCATGCCTAAGTATCTAGATTCTAGGCCCAAGGCAGTAAGAAAGGAAAGACAACATGATGTAATGGAAGGAAGAGTAAATGATAATTCAAGAAACTTGGGCTCTAGGCCCAGCCCTGATATTTCTCAGTGACCTAAAGCAAAATATTTAGCTTTAGTTTCTGTATCTGCAAAACAAGAGAGTTGGCCTCTGTATTTGCTTTCTATTGTTGCTATAATAAGATACCACACTTAAGTTACCACTTAGCACCTTAAAGATTTATTTATTTATTCATTCAGAGAGAGCAAAGAGAGAGGCAGAGGGAGAAGCAGGCTCCACGCAGGAAGCCCAACGCAGGACTCAATCCTGGGTCTCCAGGATCACACCCCAGGCTGCAGGCAGCGCCAAACCACTGCGCCACCAGGGCTGCCCCACTTAGCACCTTAAAACCATGCACATTTTCTCCCTTACAGCTCTGAAGGTCAGAAGTTTGAAATGTGTCTATAATCAAGGTGTCAGCTGGCCTGCATTCTTCTGGAAGTCTAGGGTAGAATAAAATCTTTTTCCTTGCATTTTCCAGCTTCCAGAGGTCACTTGTATTCCTTGGCTCATCTCCAAACCAACCAGATAGCATTTTTAAATCTCTCTCTGACTCTGACCCTTCTGCTTCCTTCTTTCACATTTAAAGACCTTGTGATTACATTAGGCATACCCAAATAATCCAGGAGAATCTCCTAACCTCAAGGTCAATTGATGAGCAATTTTAATTCCATCTGTAACTTAATTTTCGCTTGCCATGTAACATATTCATAGATCTGGGGATTAGGATATGGATATCTTTGGGGAACTATTACTTCACTGACCACAGCCTAGAGACCTTCAGAAGGAATCCATGAGTTTCCATCCAATGCCTCCATTCTCAGCCTCTGGGCAGAGCCATAGGAGGGACAGGAACTGATGTCTACCAGCCACCTTCTGTGGTCAGGGGTGTTACGAACTCACTGTCTCACATAACCCCATAAGAACACTGAGGTGTTAGGACACCTGGGTGGCTCAGTGGCTGAGTGTTTGCCTTCAGGTCAGGGCGTGATCTTAGAGTCCCTGGATTGAGTCCCATACCAGGTTCCTGAGGAGCCTGCTTCTCCCTCTGCCTATGTGTCTGCCTCTCTCTGCATCTTTCAGAATAAATAAATAAAATCTTAAAAACAAAAAACAAAAACCCTGAGGTTTTGCTCAGGTCAGATGAGAGAGCACTGAGGACCAATGTCAGGGTTGAGTGCTCTGGCCAAGCTCCAGGGGGGGCTTTGGGGTCCTTGAAATAGTAGGGGCTGAAGTTTGGGGACCTCTCAGAGACTTTGGATTAGCCAGGTTCTGGGGCCCTCTGAGCCAATAACTGGGTCAAAGTAGCTTCTGCCATTTAAGAGGTCCTCAGGAACTGTCATGGGGGAAGCCTCTTCCCTCATTGGTGGGTGAGTGACAGGGTAGGCTATGTGCCACCCAGGAGGGACATAAGCTTTTGAGAGAGACAGTCCTGCTTTGAAATCTGCTGAGTTCCAGGCGCTGCTCTATGAGAGTGCTGGAGGGACTGTGGTCCTTGATTGGTCATCCAGGGCCATTCAGAGTAAGCACCTGAGTCATGGGTGTGCCCAGGGGGGCACCCAGGCGATGTCCTCCTAGCTTCCTGTGCTTTGGCTCCTCCTGCAGAAGTGTGTCCCCAGAAGCAAGGGAAAGTGAAAGTTCACAGGGAGATTATCTACAGAGGCAGATTGTTACCTTTTTTGGTTAAAAATTTTTTTTTATGGAGATATACTATATCTGACTGACATAACAGTTTAACATACTGACATAACAGTCATAACAACTGACATAACAGTTTCAGGTGTGCAACATGATTTGATATTTGTATATATATCACGAAATGATCACAGTGATATTTGGCAACATACATAGTTACAAATTCCTTTTTTCTTCTGAGAATTTTTAAGATCTGTCGTCTTAGCAATTTTCAAATATGCAATGTATTATTCTTAACTATTATCACCATGTTGTACGTTACATCCCCATGATGGAAGGTTGTGATAATGATTGCTGTAGAGATCCTGACAGCCCCTCTGTGGCTATTGCCTCTCCTAGGCAGGTCCTCCCTCCCTCAGGGTCCAGTGAGTCCTTTCTCTAGGGTCAAAGTCACAGAAGGGATCACGCCAGGTGGCTTCCAGGAAATCACGTCTTGAGTCACTGGTGAAGCCAGGTGACTACACACTGATAAGGGCCCCTGGCAGCCAGAGGAAAGAATGAATTCATGCTACACTACACTAGGGTTTGCAGATCACCTCTGATCTGAATTGCAGTACAGGAACCTCCTCTTTTATGAAAATCCTCTCATCCATCCTGACTGGCACCAGAGGCATGTTCCCCAAATCTCAACCAGAGCTTGGCACTCCCATGCTTAAAACCTTTCTGTGACTCCCCCTTACCTTCTGGATAAAGCTCAAGCTCTTTGGGGTGGGGCAGTTTTTCAAACCCTTCCTAGTTTATCCTGAGACTACCTGCTAGTGTCCCGCCTTCCTCCAAAGCAGACCCTGCCGCCCTTCCTATGTGAGCTCTTCCTGGGACCTGCTCTGGCTGGTTGCTTCTCTCTCTCTCTCTCATTCTCTCTCTCTCATTCTTCTGCCCTCAGTTCTCTTCCACCTCTTCTGGGGTGTTGACTCCTGTTTTGATTTAGATACCGCTTCCTGTGCTTCCCTAGCACCTGGCATATTATTTGGCACAGAGTGCATGCTCAGTAAATGTTAGTACAGGGATTGTGTGATCTACCCTATTTCTTACTCAACAAGATAACATCTATGAAAGCACTCTTGCTTGGTAGGTGATGAATGCTAACAAAAGTTGCACAGTATTAGGTCCCTGGATTCTTTCCTTCTTTCTTTCTTTCTTTCTTTCTTTCTTTCTTTCTTTCTTTCTTTCTTTCTTTCTTTCCTTTCTTTCCTTTCTTCTTCTTCTTTTTTTTTTCTGGATTCCCTTTCCGAATAATAAATGGCTCCATCAGGCTTCTTTGGGGGCAGATCTAGGAAGATAAGAATCTTTCCTATCTTTCCAGATAATCTCCATTAAAACAAAACAGCCAGCTGGCTGGGTCTGTAAATGACTAAGCCTGTGCTACTCTGACTGTGGTCCACAGACCTGCAGCCACAGTACCTGGGAACTTGTTTAGAAATACAAAGTCTCTGGGGCACCTGGCTGGCTGGATTGGAAGAAAACCCAACTCTTGATCTTGGGGTCATGAGTTCCAGCCCCATGCTGGGTATAGGGATTACTTAAATTAAAAAAAAAAAAACCAACACCCCCAAACACCCAAATCTCAGACCCTGCCTCCACTGAATCACAATCTGCATGTTAAAATTCTTGGGAGATTCACATGCACATTAAAGTTTGCAGAGCACTGCTCAGGCGGGCCTGTGCCTAGCTGTCTGATTGTCAGGAACAGAGAACCCAGGTGAGTCAGGTCAAGAAAGGAAGACTGTAGTGTAAGAACAGGGAAAGCAAAAAGGGGATCCCACAGGATCTCGTGGGAATCTGAAGGCAGGCACTGTGGTACGCTCAGGCCACAGGACTGGAGTTCTCTGTGGTTTCAGCCTACACACATGTGAACACCTTGGCTACCCAGCTGCTCTGGGCTGGCGGAGGCTTTCACTTCAGTCTTTACCACAAACTAACAATTCCTCACTGTTTTATTTCACAAGGAATAAATCTGAATGGCTTGCTGGTGCCTTATCTCCATGCAGCTGTATGTTTGGTCACATGGCACAAAACAAGGCCACTTGAGTAACCAGGTTTGTGGTCATGGTTCACTTACATGTGCTTTGGGTGTATATCATGAAGGTGTCCCTACTTTTCAGGCACAGGCAATTCTGCACAAAGTCTTGTGGGTTCATGAGTTTGCACACTTGCATTCTTGTCCTCTATCTGTGGCTGACGCAGGACACTGGCGGGTCATGGCAGGAATTCTCCCTGGATCCTGAGTTGAAGTCACCCAAGTGGGCTGCTTTGCACTAACTATGCATCATATCCATCTTTTTATTAATAGCATCTCTTTTGTGCTGGGCTGAGTCTGGCCCAAAATATGAAGATACTTGGTCCTGTAAGGGCCATCATTTGGTCCCTGTCTGTTTTAACCTCCCAGAATATATTCCCTCTACCCACGAGACTGAGGCTTGTATGGGGGCTGGTTTCCCTTTCCTACACACCTCCCTGCCTCTTCCTCCTGCCCAATCAGGACTTTGACCACACTTGGAGTATCCACTTCCTTGCTTTGGTTGTGGCATGTTGGATGAGGCTCTACCCTCAAGTCCCGTTTCTTTCTTTCTTTTTTTTTTTTTTAAGATTTTATTTATTTATTCATGAGAGACAGAGAGAGAGAGAGAGAGAGACAGAGAGAGAGAGAGAGAGAGAGAGAGAGAGAGAGGCAGAGACACAGGCAGAGGGAGAAGCAGGCTCCACGCAGGGAGCCCAATGTGGGACTCGATCCTGGGTCTCCAGGATCACACCCTGGACTGAAGGCAGCGCTAAGCCGCTGAGCCATCCAGGCTGCCCTCAAGTCCCATTTCTAATACTGCCTGCCTGAAGTGGGTATATATTTGCCTTCTTCACGTTTATGCCCTACAGCATGGACCAGTGAGCAGGGCCCAGACTGCAGAGCCAGGCAGATTTGGGTCACACCCCAGCTTTGCCCCTTGCTGGGAGGGCTCACTTCTAAAATCTCAGCAAGTGGGTATAATGACACCTAATCCATGGGGTGCTTGTGAGACTTAGTGGCATTTATTACATGTCCAACTTCTAAGGCTGAGCTTGCCATATAACAGACCTTCAATAAATGATAACTTTTGCTTGTTTTTTTAATAGAAAATGGGGAATTTCTTTCTCTGGATCTTGGAGGGTCCAAGTTTCGTGTCTTAAAGGTCCAAGTCTCTGAAGAGGGGAAAAGAAACGTCCAGATGGAGAGTCAGTTCTACCCAACACCCAATGAAATTATCCGAGGGAATGGCTCAGAGGTATTGGGGCAGGGGCTCTATGAAGCAGCGGGGGGTGAGGGGTGGGCTTGGAATCAAGTTTATAAGTGACCATGCCTTAGCCCAGTGTCCTGTGCTTTCTCTTCTGTGTAGCTGTTTGACTACATAGCTGACTGTCTGGCAGATTTCATGAAGACGAGAGGGTTGAAGCATAAGAAATTTCCCCTCGGCCTAACCTTTTCTTTTCCATGCAGACAAACTAAATTGGAAGAGGTAAGGTTCATGCCAGGGAGGGAAGAAGCTGTGCAGGATTTGGGGTTTGGGGCTGGAGAATGTGGGCATGTTCAGGAGTCAGGCTGGAAACAAGAGAGGACTTTTTTTTCTTTTTGAACAGTGAGGTGGAAATGTGAGACAAAGAACTTGTAAATGCAGCAGCCTTGATTTTGCACATGACATGGGCACAGCACAGGCAACAAATTTTACTTTTAGTTCTCAGACTTGGTTGCGTGAGAATCCCCTAGAGGGCTTGTTAGACACAGATTGCTGGGCCCCACCCTGGAGTTTCTTAATCATTGCAGCCTTATATTTGCATTTCTAACAGCTTCCCAGGTGAAGGATGTGGATGCTGGTGGTCTGGGGACCACACCTAGTGCCACTGGCCACTGACGAAGCTGACTAGAATAAGAACAGGAAGGCTCAGGGAGTCTCACCTCTCTAGTGAGCCTTTAGGATGCAGGTAGGGTCACTGGAGTGACAATGTTGTTGAGCAGACACCGTATCTGGGACGTACAATCTCAGCTGTGCCACTATCCAGCTGGGGTCTCATCTCTGTGTGCCTCATATGTTCAACTGATAAACAGGGAGAAGTCAAGCTGAATCTTCTGTAAATCTGTGAGAATAAATAAGGGGCCATAGAAAAGGACAATGAGCTTTCTGGGGTTAGAGGGACACGGTCAGGAGTCAGGTATCCCAGTCTCCAGCTGTCTGGGGTGATGGCCCATGATCTCCTCCTATACATGCCGTCATGACACACAGCTGACAAGTCAATTCATGGAGCACCTTGACATTATGGACTGCCCTGGCATATGTTTGCTATTGCTGAGATGAGCCACTTCTCAGTGGGGAAGAGTGGACAAGGAATGGGTTCTCATGTCCCACAGACTTGTCTTTGAATCATGACTCAGAACAAGCTGTGTTCCCCTGCATAAGTTACTCAACTTATTGAGCTCCTTGTTTTCCCATCTGCAAAACAGCGACTACAAAAGCTACTTGCTGGGCTGAGGAGAAACTTAGACCAGACCTCTGCCGTGTGCCCCATATTGTGCCTGGGCACAGTTGCAGGGTCACCACAATGATTGTCCCTATGTCACTGGTCTCTTGGTGCTTTTGTATCTTGTCCCCTGACTTAACAGATGTTTCTGGAGGGCAGGCACTGTTTTATATTCTTCTTCTCCAATTACAGGGTCTATAGCATGATGTCTTGTATTTTATAGGTGATTATTAACTATCAGACAATTAAAAAGTACAATCAATCATTTACTTGATTCCATTGAGGGAGAACTTGCTATGATCTCTCTAGACAGGGGATAGGCTGAGGTCCACATTTTTATTATTTTATAAAAAAAAGATTAGAAAAAATTGATATGAAGAAGTTTTCAGAAAATGTTAGAAGAGGCCAAGTGGAGTTGAGCTATGAGGTGTCATCATCTTTGCTGGCTGGAGGAGCAGAGGTCATGGAATCTGTAAAGATAGTAGGAGGAGCAGTTGTGGGGAATCAGGCCCCAAAATCAAGATCTGATTCACCAAGTAATTAAACACCTCTTACCTGAGCTCAGAAATGGAAACCTCAGGAAGAAGGAAGAGACTTCTCAAGCTCTGTTGGAGTTCATTTGAGTTTAAGAAACAAACTTGCATATTTTCTTGACAACTAGGGGGTGAATGCATTTTATTTATCTAGGATTTTGGCATTTTTCTAAGCCAAATCCCTACCAGCATCTTTATGTAGTAGTAGTAGTAATAATAATAATAATAATAATAATAATAATGACAGTACTGTACTTCAGACTTTGGCAGTGTATCTTGCACTGTGCTGATAATACACTCTTTTTGTGTATTATCCCATTAAAATCCCCAAGCAATCATATGAAGTAGACATGATTATTTACACTTCATATTTGAGAAAAACTGCAGCTCAAAGATATTAAGGGACTTGTCCAAGGCCACACAGACACACATCTAAGAGTGGCTCAGCCCAAGTTCATAAGGTCCCACCTGCACTGCCTTTCCAGAAAGATAAAGCTCTAGAACTTTGTTTAAAATACCAGCAAGTTCCTGGAAACGTTTTGACCCATTTTGTGCCATTTTCCAATAAGGATTTTCAGGGAAACATTTAAACTAGGGAAGAGTGCTTGATTACATCGAGGAAGGAGAAAATGCTTTTTCTTATCAAAGTCTAGTGGAATTACTTGTATTTGTTTTTTAAGATTTTATTTATTTATTAATGACACACACACACACACACACACACACACACACACACACACAGGCAGATGGAGAAGTAGGCTCCATGCAGGGAGCCTGACATGGGACTTGATCCCAGGTCTTCAGGATCAGGCCCTGGGCTGAAGGCAGCGCTAAACCGCTGAGCAACTGCCGCCCCCCCCCTTCCCCGGGCCTCCCGGAATTACTTGTATTTTATAAATTTTCCCCCCAAACTGCCTTTCAGTGGAGTCTAAAGTTAAGTAGAAAACTCTCAGCTACAGGAAGTGCACTAGTAATAAGCACTAAGTGTGGGCATAGCTGTTTCATTATGGCTCTGCTGCAGACTTAGGTTTGTGACACAAAATCGGGGCTCTTGGAGAAGGTGGAGGCTGAGAAGTCATCTGAGCTCAGGAGATGGCAGAAAGGGGAAGCCTTCCTGAGGAGGGGTGGCTCAGGAGGCTTCTTTGTGAAACTAAAAAATGATTAAAGAAAATAAGAGCCTGGGCATTAAGAGGGGAGATTACTTTACAATAGTTGTTTTGTTCGTTGTTGTTTATTTTTATTTTTTAAATTTTAAAAAAGATTTTATTTATTTATTTTAGATGGGGAGAAAGAGAGAGAGAGCATGAGCAGGGGGAGGGAGAAGCAGATTCCCTGCTGAGCAGGAAGCCTGACTTGGGGCTCAATCCCAGGACCTGGAGATCATGACCTAAGCCGAAGGCAGATGCTCAATGACTAAGCCACGCAGGCACCCCTGTTTCGTTGCTTTTAAATGAGGGAACAGAAAAGTTTTAGCCAAAGAGAAATGTCTTTGCTTATGTGTGTGTTTCTGGTGGTAAAATAGTAAAACTTTTCAATATAGAAAAGAAAAAAAGGGGCTCCTGGGTGGCTCAGATGGTTAAGCGTCTGCCTTCAGCTTGGGTCAAGATCTCTGGGTCCTGGGATCCAGCCCCATGTCACGCTCTCTACTCAATGGGGAGCCTGCTTCTCCCTTTCCCTCTGCTGCTCTTCCTGCTTATGCTCTCTGTCAAATAAATAAATAAAATCTTTTTTAAAAAGAGAGAGAGAGAGAGGGGAGTAGGATTGAAAAGTTTAAAGAAAACAGAGACACCCCTAATCTCAACCTTTAGAGATACCCACTACTTGAATTGTTGGTTTTCTTTTCTTTTTTTTTTTTTTAAGATTTTATTTATTTATTCATGAGAAACACACACACACACACACACACACACACAGAAGCAGAGACATAGACAGAGGGAGGAGAAGCAGGCTCCATGCGGAAAGCCTGATGTGAGATTCAATTCCGGGACTCCAGGATCACGCCCTGAGCCAAAGGCAGACGCTCAACCACTGAGCCACCCAGGCGTCCCTGTTGGTTTCCTTCTAGTCATGTCTATATTAAATAAATGATGTCATGTTGTATGCATAGTTTTAAAAAATATAATTGCATGTAGTTTTAAATCTTCCACTTAATTATATATCACAAGCATTTATTCTCCATTCCTCCCATACACTCTGCCCCAAGTAGGTCGCACATTGTCTGTACTACCCTTTTTGGGGGATGCCACCCTACAGTTTCTTACTCCTCTTTCCCATGAAGCAGGGATGTCCTCATGACCTATGAAGACAGAAATTAGGGAGATCTGGCACTAGGCGGCGCTGTGGTGCAGGGAAAGAACCCTAGTCACTGGTCAAGGAGTCAGACCATTGCTTTCCAGATGGACTCTGTCCTTCACTTGTTGTGAGATCTAGAACAGTTTCCTTCCTCTGTAAATCTCAGCTTCTCTATCCGTACACTGAGAGGATTGGGAGGGTGTGGTTGGGGAGTTTGAGAGTTTGGACTCAGCTACTTTTGACTGTGTGGCCTTGGACAAATCTCTTAATTCCAAAATTCTCTTCCATTCTGAAACAATCTATGATTATTTGCTATTTTACAAAACTCTTGGGAAACACAAAGTTTTTAAAAAACATTTTTAAAAAATATTTTATTTTTAAGTAATCTCTACACCCAGTGTTGGGCTCAAACTCATGACCCCCAGATCGAGAGTCACACGCTCTACTGACTGAGCCAGCCAGGTGTCCCAGGAAACACCAATTTTATGCAAATAGAGAAACATTTTTCTAAGTTGAAATTAAGTTCCCAAGGGAGTCCTGCCAGATAACACCACGTTAGTTCTGTTTTGTGGACCTGGCAATTCATACATTCTGCACACATAATGTGTATCTACCACAGGCCAGGTATTTCCATCAGAGCATTTCCTGTGACAGAGACAGGGAAATGAGGTTTCTTTCTTTCACAGATGAGTAAACTGAGGCTCGAGATTAAGAGACTTGACTAATGTCTTGTGAGGCCAAGTCCTCAACAATTGTTCTTTCTGCCACTATATATACTGTTTCAAACTGCTCAGATGAAACAAAGATGTTTATATGGTTAGAAAAAGCCTCTGAAGGAATGTTGAAAGAAATGGGGGTGATTCAGCTTCAAGAAGAGAAGCCCATGGGGATACTCTTTATGCATGAATTTTCTGCCACTCATTTTCAGAACTGAGGGCCTTCTTCACTTTAACTGGCTCTGAAATCTTCCCCCAGGGTATTCTGCTTTCATGGACCAAGAAGTTTAAGGCACGGGGAGTTCAAGACACAGATGTAGTGAGTTGTCTGACCAAAGCCATGAAAAAACACAAGGTGAGGGATTCGCCTCAGTGTGGGAGCTCCCCTAGTCCTAGCCCCTTTCTCTCGACGTGGGATCTCCTACTGTGCCTGCCCTGGAAGGAGAATCAGAGAGGGAATTGATCTTGGGGAAGGTCTCACTGTAATATAAATGTGACCAATTGTGACCAATCTGGATAAACCCATTGGTGAGCCTTGGTTATGTGGAACTTGTTCTAGTTGCTGTTAAAGTATGGTCCCCTGCTTCCCTGGGCTCTCCCCAGCTGCCACAGCCCCTCTCAGAGGGGCTTGGTTAGACCCCACGCATCTATAATGCTCTCATTGCCTTTCCCCTCTGAGCTTAAAAGATCACTTTCTTTATAACCTGACTGTCTCTCCTATTTTCCACTCTAATATTCATGGGTTATCGCTATTCATTGAATACATTTTATAATAATCTATACTGAAAAACCAAAACATGCTCCTTACTGGCTGAAAAGTACACAACTAAACCCAAACTATTTGTTATCCTGACAGCAAGAGGAATATTTTGAGGGATACCCTTCTAGTCTTTTTTCTCTTTAAAGATGCAATCATAATCTTTTATATCCTGTGTTTTTCTTTTATTGTTTCATTTTATTTTAGAATGCTCCCCCAAACCTTGGGGAACCATATTACCTTGGGGTAATAATCCAAGTTGACTTGTCAACTTGAGAAATCCCTGGTGCTGTCCATGGAGAGGACTTGGCTGAGGCTGGTTAAACTGTCCCCATGGGCAAGGGAGGACTTTGCTCCCAGGATAAGCATCCTTTCCTTAGGGGTGTCTCAAATAAAAACTGGATTCCTGGTAGTCTGTCCATCATATTTCCATTGCACAGAGGCCTCCACCCATAAGGCAGGAGCATGAGTTCCACTCTTCAGTTCCCAACTGCCTTTTCTCTCTTCTAGATGCCTGAACTTGCCAGAGGCCCTGTCTCTTTCAGGCAGGCCTGGCAGGCAGGATCTAGTGATTGTCTCATCATCTTCACTGCTTTTGCTTCCTCTGTGGGGAAGGATAAAGGGATGATGCCTCCTTCCTGCCCACTGATGCCTTCTGAGGTTTGTGTTCCAACAGGACATAGACGTGGACATCCTGACCTTGGTCAATGACACTGTGGGAACCATGATGACCTGTGCCTATGATGATCCCTACTGTGAAGTTGGTGTCATCATTGGTAATTCAGTTTCACTTGATTTTCTAGGTTGGGAAAAGGGGCTAGTGTGCGGCTTAGTTTTAGCAAACTGAGTAAATTCTGTGAGAGGGTATTGGCACTTTCTGTTTATGAGAAGTAACATAGGGACATGGAAAATTAATACATTCATTTGACAAGCATTTACTGCATGCCTCTTGTGTGCTGGGCCTTTGCTCTGCATTGGGTTTTCAGTGGAGTCAATACCTAGAGGTTCCTGTATTCATGCAGCTTTTGGTGGGTAGGTGGATGAAAGGCCTGGAAGGTCCAAATGAGTAATCTTAACTCTAGGTCATGGTTGGTGTGATGGCAAGAGTGAAGCAGGGTGATGTGACTGAGAGTGAGAGTGGTGGGGTGGTGGCGGCAGGTCTCTGATGGTGACATCTGAGCAAAGATCTAAGGGAGGAGGAGGAGGGAGCAAAAGGGAGATGGAGAGGAAGAAAAGCCCTGGCAAAGCAAAGAGGGGACCTATGGCCTCTAAGGTGAGATTGAGTCTGGGATGCTTGAGGAGCCCTAAGAATCTGAACGGTGGCTGAGCCAAAGTGAGCTATTCAGGTTAAGGAGTGGGCTATTCAGGTCAGAGAGGATGGACAGGACTGGGCAGGTTGTGTAGGACACAGGACACAGTCATTGTAAGGTCTTTGGCTTTTATCCCGAGGGGAGGCAGGCAGGAAGGCCTTTGAGGACTTTGGGTGGGGGATGGATAAATGGGGTGTGCATTTTTAAGCAGCTCATTTTGGCGGCTGTGTCAGACAAAGAGAATTGACTACTGGGGGCAAGAATAGAAGCAAGGTGACCAGACAAGAGGCCATTGCCCTGTGCAGGAAGGACATGGTGGGAGCCTAGATCAGGGATGTTGCTGCACAGGGGCAGTGTCTGGTGGGTGGTTCTTAACACCTGAGCTGGGAGGGGGGTTGGCCAGAGGTGTCCTAAGAAGGCAGTGTGGGGGACGATAAAGCCTAGTGGATTGGATTTGTTGGTTGTTCTTGAATAGATCCTACCACCTTCCCATTCCCTTCCCCCTACTGAGGAGAGCTTTCCGAATTGCCTTTTTTTTTTTTTGTAATTTCCAGTGCTTCTCCTCAGCTGGACTTTCCCAAAGGGCAGGATCTTTACACCTGAGGGGTTTGATCTGCCTCCCCATTTCTGGAGCTCCACGGCTCAGAATGGGATAGGTGCTTGCCAGTCATGGTTTCTAGCCACCGTCCACTGTGTCTCAGCAGCTGTGTCTGGTAAACTACAGATTGGCTGCCACACCTAAATTGTGTCCATACTTTTCTCAGAAAAGCTTTTTCCAGGTATTGCATTATATTCTGCTTCTATTATTTTTTATTTCTCGTGTTGACTTTAAAATCCTCAGACCAGAGTGTTAGGGGAAGATACTTTACAAAAATAATTTTTAAACAGCTTTGAGCCATAAAAGCCCTGTTATTTAAGGTGTACAATCCAATGATTTTTAGTAAATGTAGTTTCCTAACCATAACCACAATCCAATGGTAGAACATTTCCATCATCCTGGTAGATCCCAAACATACTGTCCCCTTTTATAGCCACTCCCTTAATATTCTAGTGTTTGAGGCATTTCCTTGGGGTGATTCTTTGAATAATGGAATGTTTCTTATGTGATAGCTAATCATTGTCAAAGATAAGGATGTAGCTTATGCTAGGAACAATTTGTGGCAGGCCATGAATAAAGAATATTTTTAGTATCAAGTAGAGAAGAGGCTAAGTTGCTTAGGGAAAGGATTAAAAAAATATTGTGGGTTGGTAATTTTTTTTTTTAAATTTACAAGATTAGGTTAACTCATCCTCTTTGTAAATGTGCTTTGTCAGCTTTCATGCATATTCATGAGGGACTTCTTCACAATCGACCTCTTTCATGACAGCAAACCATTAACATCTGAGAAGTGTAGACTCCACATGTCAGCTTTATTCCTCATGAACTCCCAGGCTTGCCAAAGCTGCTTCCCTCAGTGAGAACCAGGCCCGGGAAGTGGATCAAAAGCACTTTGTGGTACATTCAGAGGACTCTCAGGCAGTTAAGAGTTCTGTCTTTGCCCAGCTGGGAGCCTTTCCGTCTGTGCCTATTTGCTCTGATCCCCTGTTCAGGTACTGGCACCAATGCGTGTTACATGGAAGACATGAGCAACATTGACCTGGTGGAAGGTGATGAGGGGAGAATGTGCATCAACACGGAGTGGGGGGCCTTCGGGGATGATGGGACTCTGGAAGATATTCGTACCGAGTTCGACCGGGAGATAGACCTCGGCTCTCTCAACCCTGGGAAGCAACTGTGAGTCCCCTTGTGCTGTAACCTGGGCATCGGCATCAGTAAATACCCAGTCACTCAGGTACACTTTGAACCTGGGAGACTTTCTAGTTGTGACTAGTTATCCATCACAAGGAATTTCTGAGGACCCCAGCAAAAGTGAAGGCAAGAACATGGAGTGATCTCCCCTAAGTCATAACCCTAACTATTCCAGTTCAGTCCATATTTCTGGAACATGTCCAGAGGTAGGGGACATACAGCTGTGAACCAGGTGGCTCCGGTCCTGCCCTCTTGGTGCATTTGGACGAGTGACCATAGAACTAAACCAGTGCAGCCCAAGGGAGCAGGACTCAGGCAAGTCCCTCATTTGTGTTTCCAGTGCTCCCCTGACACCCTGCTTTCTTGGAGGTCTAATCACAACACCTGGGGCCATGCCTTCCCAGCTTAGGTCTTAGGGAGTCTTTCTTGGCTCTCATTCCACATTCACACTCATTCCACAATAGAGTAACTGTTGAGAGTGCCTCAGCTCTGCCTACGTGCTGAGCTCCCAGAGCACAAGTTGGATTTTTTCTTTCCTTTCTGTGCATAGTATCTTACACATTTTTGCAGCTCATTAAGTGTTTGTTGAATGAAAAGGCATTTAAAAAATTAAATAATTTCAGGCTTACAGAAAAGTTACAAAAATGGCATAAATTCCCCCTTCACCCAGATTCCCTAAATCAGATTACTAATACTCTTGTCTGTTATATATGTATATATATATATATATATATATATGCACATATACACAAAATATCTGAATGAAGTAACTTTTCTGAATCATTTGAGACTGCAATTGCAATTATAATATCCTTTCACTCCTAAATACTTCAAAGTGTATTATCTGCAATCAAGAGAGTATATTCTATTACAAAACCAAAGGATAATTATCAAAATTAGGAAATTAACACTTAATAAGTTCCAATATTTAATTTACAGACCTTATTCAAGATTCATTAGCTGCCCCATTAATGTCCTTTATAAAAAGAGAAAAAAGAATGGTCCTGGTCTAGGTTCCAGTTCAGGATCATACATTATATTTTGTGGCCTTTCTCTTTAGCCTCTTTTAACCTGGATATCCTCTGAAATATGTTTGTTTTTCATGAGCTTGAAGATACAAGCCATTTATTTCACAGAATGTCCCTCAATTGTCTGATGTTTCCTCATGATTAGATTCTGGTGTGCGTTTTTGACAGGACTATCACAGAAGGGATGTGTGTCCTTTTCAGTGCATCATATCTGGAAGCACTCAATGTTTGTTCCATTCCTTGTGATGCTATCTCAGATCTCTTGGCTAAGGGGCTGTACAACAGGCTTCTCTCCCAGAAGGTTGTTATTATTCTTTCTATAATGAATATGTATCTGGTAAAGAGATACTTTGAGACTATGTAAATATCCCCTTTCTCATTAAACTTTCACTCTATTTTTAGCATCCATTGATGAAATTCTAAATCCATCATGTTTATTAGTTTTGTAATTCTACTATAAATCTCGGCTTTTCTATCTCCTCCATTTATCTCTTTATCCTAATATGAACTCATGGATTCTTTCTGTTATTTAATGGGTATCATTTATTCCTATCATTATTTATTTTGATGCTCAAATATTTTCACATTTGGCCAATAGAAGCCCCTTTGAACTGGTCCCTGTGTCTTTTCGATGTGTTCCAATCACTCTTTAGTACTTCCTTATTTTCTGGCACACTAAGATGTTTCAGGCTCATCATGCATTTTTCTAGTCCTGGCCATTTTTCCAAGAAACTCTGGTGAATAAATATTTAAAATACCTCCTAGAAACCATTCAAACATTAGCACTGCATACCCGGAAAGCAAATTTCTGCTTTGGATATACCTGCTCACCAGGCACACACCCTTTTCACTGGTGACACAGAGCAGTCATGGCCCAAGAAAGACCATTTTTTTGGACTTTTTCACCCTCATTCTCTCTATTTCACTTAAAAAATGAATTCCATTCCTCCAAATCCAACCTGGATTTCTTTTGGCTGTCTTCTGTTTCTGCAGCGTTCTACCACGTTTTATAATGGAACAGATAAAGCTAATTAGAAAACAGGCTATCCTTGATTTTGTGCCTTATTATGTTTGGAGAATAAAAATCATATTTACTTATTTACCTGGGAAACAATTAGTAGGTGCTTGTCAGATGCAGATTACAAGTCAAGGTGTAGGTAGCCTGGTGGGATATTTCATTTACACTATTATCAAACCTCTCTGGGACTATCCAAGCCCATCGCCCAGACACAGCATCCTTCTCTCTTGGACAAAAGCATTGTGTGGGAGTTGAAGCATTTGAAATTTGGATTTGTCATGCCGTGGTTGGTAATCTTGGGATCACCTGAAGTCACTGAAGTCGAGATTCCTTATGCCTAATATGAGAATGGTACCCCTCCCACGGCCAGGGGTGATTTGCGATTAAGATTCTTAGATTAAATCACTTTATGAGCAGGAAAGAATCTTAGGTCTCCCTCTAGTGTAGTTCTCTCCTTTTATAGGTGAGGGGAGTGCAGCCCAGAGAGGATAAGTGAGCTCCCAAAGGTATCCTATCCAAAAGCTGGGATGGGGACTGAGACCATCTGACCCATGGAGTGGTCCTTCCATTACTTATGGTCCTGACTATGGGCTGTGGTTCATGGCTATTGAGAAAGGGTGCTACATAACCATGACCATAACTACTACTGATCTATTCACCAAATCATAGGTTTGAGAAGATGATCAGTGGCCTGTACCTGGGCGAACTTGTCAGGATTGTATTGCTGAAGATGGCCAAGGCAGGTCTCCTGTTTGGTGGCAAGAAATCCTCTGCTCTCCACACTAAGGGCAAGATTGAAACACGGCATGTGGCTGCCATGGAAAAGTAAGCTGCTGGCTGGGTGCCTTTCCCCTTGACTCTGCAGAGGGTTAGGGTGGGTATCCAAGGCGTGGTATGCTCATGGTAGTTGCACAGCAAAAGGGGCCAGGTCCATCCAGATATTCACCAAGACAGCTTCAGACCTGGGCCTAGCTTTAGGTGAGTTAGCAATGCCTACTGTAACTCAGATGTGGCTTCTTGTCGGTTTCATCAGCCAGGGAATCTGCGGTTGGTGGTCTGTTCCTTTCTTCTATTTTGCTGTATTCCTCCTCCCCCAAAATGGTAACTTAAAACTTTTTTTTAGAGTCACAAACTTCTTGGAGGATCAAATTCAATCAAGTTCTGGATCTTTTACTACAAAAATGCATATTTGTACTCCATTTTGCTTACAATATTAGGGCATCCTCAGACCCATTAAACCCATGCATGGAATCTAAGTTAAGAATACCTACTATAGCAAGAGCCTTTTCTATCTGGTATTGTTGGGAATTGGCCTTGGCTTTAGCGATTGAGGCCCCACACAGAGGTCTCTGCAGTGGAGAGATGGCTGGTAAAGGCAGCTGGCTCCAGTCTACTTGGGGTCCTATTCCTCTGGCTTAGAAACCCAGGTGTTGCCCTGAGCTTTGTAATCAGTTTAGATTCTGAGCTTTACAGAGTGGCATCAGACTCCTAGAGTCTGTTTGTGCAGAGCATGGCAGGGACTGAGTTTCTTTGAAAGGCAGAAGAGAACAGGGTGGTTAAAAGGATGGGTTTTGTGATCTAACTGCCTAAGTTCAAATCCTGACCCTTGTAATTACTAGCTATGTGACTGTGGACAAGTAGCCCTCTCTATGCCTCTCAAAGCTTTAGACAAGTGCCTGGCACATAGTGAGTGCTTGATAAATGGTGGCTGCTATGATCGTTGTTGATATGGTTATCATTATTATATTACTATGTGCCAGTTTATTTATTTTCACAATCCTGAGAGGTGAGAAAATGGTTCTCTGAGGGGACTTCCATGGGATGGAAAAATGTGGTCCTCTCATTCCTGTCCCCTGGCCAGGTATAAAGAAGGCCTTGCCAATACAAGAGAGATCCTGACAGACCTGGGCCTGGAGCCTTCGGAGGCTGACTGCATTGCGGTCCAGCACGTCTGCACCATCGTCTCTTTCCGTTCAGCCAATCTCTGTGCAGCAGCCCTGGCAGCCATCCTGACACGCCTCCGGGAGAACAAGAAGCTGGAGCGGCTCCGGACCACAGTGGGCATGGACGGCACACTCTACAAGATACACCCTCAGTGAGTGCTGCCTGCCAGCCCACACCCCCCACTAATGAGGCTTTCTGGAACAGAGACCCAGTGATCTCTCCAAGCTATGCTGCTTTCTCTGGGTTGCTGGGACCAACCATCTCCTCTTAGTTCTGAGCTTATAGGGGAAAGAGAGATTGTATTCATCTAGCTGGCTAGGTTGTTTTGGGGGGATCATTCTTAAAGAAATATTCTGCTAAACCCAGTTGCCTGACTAGAAGGGCATCCAACCACATATTTAGCCACCTGTCCATCTACCCATCCATCTATCTGTCTATTATTACCTACTATGTGGTAAGATGGGAAAGTAAAATACATTTAGTTACATGGGGAAAAATCCGAATGGCAGAGGTTGCCAAGTTCTCAGGAAGGATACTGGTAGGAAAATACAAGGAAATGAAGATTTCCCAGAAGGACGGAGTGCGAGAGCCCCTCTGGCTAATAGAGGTGGTATTTTAAGCCAGGGAGGTACACACTGGAAAGAGCTGGAGAAAGGATCCTTCCCCTTTGGATGCAGACGATGCTCAGCTAATACATTATGAATGGACATGCCCTACTGAGTGAAATATTAGTGATCAAATAGCTACCTCTTTGAGCCTCCAAGAGTCCTTTCTGCTACCCTCACTGCCCTAGTCACCCCCCTGCCCTCCCACCATCCAGCAACCAGAGGGGTGAACCCAGCCCAGCAAGGTTCCCCAGAACCCCCATCCCACTGTTACCCCTGTGTCTGTTTCCGTTAGCCAGGCCTGGGCCTTTATGACTGTTACCTATTTTGCCGTTGCCCCTGCCTTCAGATATCCCAAACGCCTGCACAAGGTGGTAAGGAGGCTGGTTCCGAACTGCGACGTCCGCTTCCTCTTGTCAGAGAGTGGCAGCACCAAGGGAGCTGCCATGGTGACAGCGGTGGCCTCCCGGGTGCAGGCCCAAAGGAAGCAGATTGACAAGGTGCTGGCTTTGTTCCAGCTGACTCAAGAGCAGCTTATGGATGTGCAGGGCAAGATGCGGAGGGAGTTCGAGTATGGACTAAAAAGGGACACCCACCTCATGGCCACAGTCAAGATGCTGCCCACCTACGTCTGCGGAATGCCAGATGGCACAGGTGGGCCGTACACAGAGCTCCCACCAAGACACCTCCAATAAGTTAGGGTTTTAGTTTTAAAAGCCCTGGATTCATGTCTATAATGGAGGGAGAGGGCGTGGGGTAGAAGATGAATTCTATTCATCTTGGTTGATCCCAGGCAGTAGAAGAATACCTAAGTGATGTCACCTGTGTGTGTCTGTGTGGTTGAGAACATGGCATGTACCTCACACTATTGGCAGACAGAAGACCCGGGTTTGTCCCCTGGAGCTGCCATCTGGATACTTGGACTTGTCTGCTTGTCTCCTGTCTACTTCCCTGCCTCTCTTCTCCTGGGGCTTGGCTCTTGCTTTCTGCCCCTGACATTTCTGAGCCTTGATTCTTCTCCCAACCCTCTGTGCTCCTCTTTCCTATCAATGCTTCCATATGAGTTCCTGTTCTGTGCATGCTGGTGGAATGCAGCTCCCACTTTCTCCACCACAGAGAAAGGAAAGTTCCTTGCCCTGGATCTGGGGGGAACCAACTTCCGGGTCCTCCTGGTAAAGATCAGAAGTGGACGGAGGTCAGTGCGAATGTACAACAAGATCTTTGCCATCCCCTTGGAGATCATGCAGGGCACCGGTGAGGAGGTACATGCTGGGCTGGGGAGTTCTGTGCCTGGGGGAGCCAGCCTGCCGCCCTGTATCACTGCTGGCCAGGTATGACTACCACTGTTTCCCCGCAGCTATTTGACCACATCGTGCAGTGCATCGCTGACTTCCTGGACTACATGGGCCTCAAGGGAGTCCAACTGCCTTTGGGCTTCACATTCTCATTTCCCTGCAGGCAGACGAGCATTGACAAGGTAAGACAGCCCAGCAGGCTTCCAGAAAGCCTGATGCGCTTCCTTCCTCCAGCAGAGGAATCTCATGGTACCTCTGGGTCACTGTTTATTTCCTTATTTACAGGTCTCAGGTTCAGGGCAGTTGGGAAAATGTAATCAAGAATTTGAACCATTTAATATTATCTATTTATTATGTTCCATTTTCATTGTTATTTTTTGGATTCACAAAAGATTTCGAGCAGTATATAATAAAGGGACACATGCACGAGAGTCCTGTTAAACGAGAGATTCAATCATGTTATGGAGACATATAAAGAGGTAACGACCAGAAAAGCCAGTTAAAACTCTTAGGCAGCAGTAATGTCTGTGTCTTCCCATGGGGCCAGTGTAAACAGGGAAACACAATAGGTGGCAGGCTGTTACCTGAGAAAGCTTACCGGTGCGTTAGAAGGAATCAGACAACAAATATATCACATGAACAAATGAACACTTACTTAGTTTACATTGAAGACCATTGTGGATAATAATTTGAATAAACCCTTCATAATAATTTAGAAACACATATCACAAAGTCTTCCTTGGAATTCTTGGATAAAAAGACCATTCACCAGCTTGTGGAGAATGGAGCACACACACTCTCTCTGACAATCAGGTTTACAGGGTGGGAACAGAACATCACTAAAAGCAAAACACCACTTTTTAAAAATATATTTGATTTATTTTTAGAGAGAGAGTGAGAGTGAGAGAGCGAGAGAGAGCATGAGCAGGGGGAGTGGCAGGCAGAGGGAGAAGGGGTTTCCGGCTGAGCAGGGAGCCCGATGCAGGGCTCGATCCCAGGACCCTGTGATCATGACCTGAGCCGAAGGCGGATGCTTCACCAACTGAGCCACCCAAGGGCCCCCAGAACACCACTTTTTAATTTATAGGGAAAACTATGGTCAACACAAAAAGTCAACCAGAGAGCTAACGATAATAAGAATGGCACCAAAGATTTGTTAAGATTTCTTCTAATCCACTTGATGTCCCCATGATGTACATACTATTTTTGTTTTGTTTTATTTTTAACCATTTTTAAAATTATGGTAAAATAGAAAGAACATAAATTGGCTATTACTTTAACCATTTTTAAGTGTACAGTTCTTTTTTTTAATGTTTATTTATTTATGATAGTCACACACACACACACAGAGAGAGAGAGAGAGAGAGAGAGAGAGAGAGAGAGAGAGGCAGAGACACAGGCAGAGGGAGAAGCAGGCTCCATGCACCGGGAGCCCGACATGGGATTCGATCCGGGGTCTCCAGGATCGCGCCCTGGGCCAAAGGCAGGCGCCAAACCGCTGCGCCACCCAGGGATCCCTAAGTGTACAGTTCTATGACACTAAGTACACTCTCGTCATCATGAAACCATCACCACTATCCATCTTCCAAACATTTTATCTTCCCAAACTGAAACTCTATACCCATGAATAGTAACTTGCATTTGCCCGTCTCCCTACTCCTGATATTCCCCCAACATCTACTTTACAGCTCTATGAATTTTACTATTTTGGGTTCCCCTATCTAACCGGAATCATACAGTATTTGTCCGTTTGTGACTGGCTTATTCCACTTAGCATAATGTCCTTAAGATTCGTCCATGTTGTAACACGTGTCAGAATTTCCTTCCTTTTAAAGACTGAATAATAGCTCATTGTATGTGTGTACACTATTTTTAATCGCCACATTGTAGTTAAGAAAAACAGAGGCACAGAGAAGTTAGTTGTCCACGATGCCACATCTATAAATAGCATTGGAGGGTTCTAGTGTAGGACACAGGCCTGAGAGCGCAGGCTCTTTCACTTTGCCCTTGGGGAGACCAGGACCCAGAACCTGTGTCAATGAACCATTTTGGCTAAAATACACAGTACACCTACATATATAATTAAAACAAAAAAATCAATAAATAATATTCTTATTATATGTAACACACTCTTTTCTATCCCATTTCATTTTTCTTATGAGAAAATTGAGCCACGTGAGTCTCATCTGATGGGTTGGTACAGAACTGGAACAGATTTCTTCAGGGCTATGAGAACACCATGGAAACATACATGGCAGCAGTCCTTCCCCACCCTAATTATTCAGAGAATGGGGAGAGAGGGGATCACAAGTCTGGTAATACGGCTAGCTCTCTTAAAATTAAATGTGTCAGAATGCTAAGAGCCAGAAGATCCATTTCTCAAGATTCCATTTCTCAAACATGTGCCAAGCAGGAGTGAAAAAAAATGTTCACTAGGGCAGCCCTTTATAATAATGAAACATTCAAAATCATTCACATGGCAGTGGAGAATGACTAAAGAAACTCTGGCATAGAAATCATGTGGAATTAATTACTTGATTTGCGTTTACCAGGCACATGCTTGCTCGGTGTTGGACACTATTCCAAGTGCTTCACAGACATTGCCTAGTTGACTGGGAGGCCACAGAGTGAGCACAGTAGTTAAGAGCATGGGTTCGAAGCACACTGAATCTTGGCTTCTCCACTTACTCACTTGGTGATCGTGGACAAATTATTTAACAGCTCTGGACCTTGGTCTCCTCATTTGAAAAATGAGGATAAAAATAGTACTTATATTTCATAGGTATTTTTTTTTATTTCTATGCAATTATATTTGAGGACTATTCTGCTCAGGGGAAGATTGTGGCAGATCCATATTAACTGACCTGGAAAGGTCTAGAAAATATGTATTAAGTGGGGAAACCAAATCACAGTCATCTATACACTGTGTAAATTTGTTTATTTAAAAATATATGTAAATGGAGAGACAAAGGTCTGGAAGGAATCATATTAGCCTGATAATAGAGGTTACCTCTCAAGTTGGGGGAATGGGAAGTTAAAAGGCACTTGGCCCTTATCAGTAACAGTTTAATTTTTTATAAGGGCTACACATTATATGAGTGCTGCCATTAAAAATTAATACACCATTCGGGAAGGCAGCCACATACAGCTGTCCACAGTCCCCAGTGATCAATGAGCACCAAGGCACAGCTGCTCTTCCTGACCCAGGACACTGGGTCTCTAGGCCTCTCCCAGAAGTTCTGACAGGTTCATGGATATACAGTTGAGAGGGATGGGGAGACAAGTGGACAGCTGGGAGCAAAGCCACTGAGGGCTAGGGAGAAAAAAGACTTTTAAAAATATGATTTTTGTGTAATTGCAACTAAGAAGAAAGACTTTTCAACTAGGGGTGAATTTCTAGTGTTCTACATCTATCCACCAGGGAAAGAACAAGGGACCTGAACTTCCCAAGGACTGTGGAGAGAAAGAGGCAGACCCCAGGGCTGAGGGCCTCAGGGTGAGATGGCCATCTAGCCCACGGGGGTGGGGGCACTGCTGCCGGAGCCGCTAGCCCCCTTTCCTACCTATCCCAGGAGCTCTCCTGGCCTACATGCACCAGCTTGACCTGCCCTCCCCCACCCCCAGCTCTAGACTGTGGAGTCTGAGACTGGATTAACTCCTCCATCTGGCCAATAGTGTCATCTTGGTCTTTCTTGATATAAAAATTATACATGCTAACTTTGGGAAAACTAGAAAATATGGGCACACAAAAAGAAAAGACCAGAAGGCACCCTTAACCTTGTACCTAGAGAGGACCACTGCCAACTTCTTGGTGTGGGCATTATTCCAGACCTTTTTCTAGATATGAGTGTGTATATATGTGCATGTACATGCGTGAGTGTTTTTAAAAGAATAATAGTGTAATTCGCCATCTACATTTGTTTAATATATGTTCACTTTACAGTGTATGGTGAACATCTTTCTCTAATATTCAATGTTCTCTTACAGCATGATTTTTTATGACTGTTTAACATTACCTATATCGATACACAAGATAATAGATCTATGATATTGGAACGACAGGATGCCTCTAGTTTTTCACTGTGGAACCATGCTTTGATGAACATTTTGTAGCTCTTATCTTTAATCACATCTTAATCTGTCCTTGGCTGAATTAGACATAGATTGACTGTGATCCAGGCTTTTGTTCTGTGCAGTCATGGCCAGGGAACACAAGCTGACCCTTGATGAATATGAATTGCTATAGTTATTCCACTCAGCAACAGACCTCATCTGGGCATCATGCTCCGTGATACCTCTGGGCCCAGTGTTAGGGCTGCAGAGATGGAGCAGTCGAAAGCACATACATTTGACTAGCTACTGACACAGACTATTTGATGATGAGGTTGGGTAGTGGTCCTGGCAAATTATTGCTCAAATGAATTTCTCCTTCTTTCTTGTAGGGAACACTCATTGAGTGGACCAAAGGCTTCAAGGCCACTGATTGTGAAGGGGAAGACGTGGTGGACATGCTCAGGGAAGCCATCAAGAGGAGAAATGTATGTTATGGTGTTGAGGCTCATGCCTGACCTTGCCCCTTCTCCCAGGCCCCTTTGCTCTGACATCCTGTGCCCAGCCCCATGACTCTGGCCTCCATGCACCTTGGGTTGATATGCCCCTCCTGAGCCTATTTGGCATGGCTGCTTCCTTTGCAGGAGTTTGACTTAGACATAGTTGCAGTTGTGAATGATACAGTGGGGACCATGATGACCTGTGGCCATGAAGATCCTAATTGTGAGATAGGCCTGATTGCAGGTAAGAGATCAGGCATGTCCCATTAGCCTGCTCTCATCTGATCTTTTGGTGGTTTCCTTTTAACATAGTGCAGGACTGGGGGTGGGGGGAGGGGTTGGGTGGAGCATTTTTCCATTACACAGAGGCTCTAAAGCCAGCTTTATCCAAGACAGAGATGAAGTTCAGATTAGGATTTCAGGTCTCCTAATTTCTAAATGTTTACTTAATATCTTTCTCCTTAAGGGTCCTAAGCCAATGTTGTCCTTTTGTTGAGGAAGGAGAATGACATAGAAAGAGGAGATTTCCAAATTAGGGGCAGATTATCCAGGGTAGAAAGAGACCACTGTTGGCTTGGGTCTGATTTGCATGCAGCTCCAGTGTATACCTCCTCTATTAGCAGACCTCTTCTGGCCATGGGTGCACATGATGGGGAAGAGTTGGAAAGAACCTAGAAGAGAAGGGAGTGGCCTGACACATGATTTAGCCATTTGAGGGGGCTTTGGGAGAAGTCTGGCAGTGATTAAGGGCAAGAATGGATTTCAGGGAGTTGACTCTCTCATTGATGAGGGGATGGATGGGATTTGAACAGGTAAAGATGGAGACAATAGGCATTCCAAGTGACTGGCACAAGTTAGTAATGACAGAACCTGGAAAAATTGTTCTAGCTGTCTGTCTAGGTTTCCTGAAGGTGAGCAGTGGGTAGAACAAGGAGATGGGGATATAGTGAGATGCCTCCAATGCCAGCTAAGAAGTTTCATCTCACTGTAAGTCTTACCCATTTTATGACTATGGACAGGTTACTTTGTCTAGATTTGAGTTTCCTCATCTGTGGGAGAGGTCAGGCGAGAATTAGGAAGGCAAAGGGGTGAGACTTGTTTGAATATAATAGGTGTCTGCACTGCTGTACCAAGGATAGTTCTGAGACAAGGTCGGGGCAAAGGACAAAGTAGGTGGCCTATGGACGCCAATGTTTACTTCTCCCAAGACCGGATAATTCCTCATGATCCCTTTTAGCTCGGGCTGCTGTGACTACTTGGGAGCTCACTTTGTGTACCTATAGCCTAACAGTAAATGATGAGGATGATGATGTGATGGTGATGTAATGCGATGGTGGTGAGGAGGAGGAGAATAGTGTTTTCTCAGGCACAATTTGCTAGGTGGAGGGATCTTGTGAACATCATATCATTGTTTTCTTTTTAACAAATCTATAAGGCAGGTATTATTTCCTTTTTACAGATGAAGAAATTGGACCTCTAAAGATGAGATACTTGTCTCTATAGTCAGTCACCTAGTTAAAGATGAGATACTTGTCTCTATAGTCACCTAGTTAAAGCTGGAATTCACAGCCAGTCGTATCTGACTCCAAGCCTAAGTTCCTCTCCAGCACTACTCTGCCTCTTTAGGACCTGGTGATATCTTTTGAAGACTGAAGTCCTTTTATGTTTCCTTTTAGGAACAGGCAGCAACATGTGCTATATGGAAGAGATGAGGAACATCGAACTGGTGGAAGGGGATGAAGGGAAGATGTGCATTAACACCGAGTGGGGAGGATTTGGAGATAATGGCTGCATAGATGACATCCGGACCCAATATGATGAGAAGGTGGATGAGGGGTCCTTGAACCCCGGCAAACAGAGGTGAGGAGGGTGGATGTGTATATTAATGTAGATTGTGCAGTGTATGACTTTATCAGACCAGGGTGGGGGATACTATATTTGCCTCAAAGATGCGATAGCTTTGTATTTTTATTACAACTCTTCATCGGAGGTCAGTGAAGTGTCTTATTGGAACAAAAGCAAAATATAGGACAAGTTTCCAGCAAGGAGAAAGAAGGGGTGCTTTTTTCTGATTACCATAAGGTACCATAAGATCTACTGGTGGCTTTGGAATGATTCAGAGACTGTCCCAAAGTCCACTCACCATGGGCCAAGTGTCACAGAACAGGGGCACACTGACTTAGTGAGTCCCCTCATGATGGGCTTCTGCTAGATCCAGTTTAGAAATCAAGATCCTCAGCCTTTCCAAAGCTAGCTACCAGGGGGTGGGGAACTGGTAGCAGGTGATGGATGGGAGTACTGGTTCTCAATCATGATGTCATATCCCACCATGGGTTACAATCACTTGGGAGGTAGATTCCAATGACTAGCCATATTAAAAATACTGAAAACAATGAATGATTCTTTTTTTAAAAAATTGAGTACATTTTCACTTGTGTTCTCATCTAGCTTCTTGAGTAAAAGAGAAAGGGATAGCATGCTAGGAATTGATAATGAAACCAGGCCCATCTGTGACAGCAGGTGTTGTCAAACTTTTTCTTTTCTTTTTTTTAATTTTTTTTTTATTTATTTATGATAGTCACTCACAGAGAGAGAGAGAGAGAGAGAGAGAGAGAGAGGCAGAGACACAGGCAGAGGGAGAAGCAGGCTCCATGCACCGGGAGCCCGACGTGGGACTCGATCCTGGGTCTCCAGGATCGCACCCTGGGCCAAAGGCAGGCGCCAAACCGCTGCGCCACCCAGGGAATCCCAAACTTTTTCTATAAAGGACTAGATTATAAATGTTTTAGTCTCAGGGTATATGGACTTTTTCACAATGAAACTCAATGTCTCAATACATAAAATAAAATGAAAACATAGGTTTATCATGATGATGAGATCCCAGTGCAGAAGTTAAACAGATAGGAAATGTAATGAGATATGTGGGCCACAGATGCTTGATAACTGAACCCGAGTACCCTGTTCAGGAAGATACTCGGGCAAGGCCAGGACCAGCCTTAATGGTCCTTGGTCTTCCTTTGGCACTAGTCTTTTTTTTTTTAAGATTTTTATTTATTTATTCATGAGAGACACACACACACACACAGAGAGAGAGAGAGAGAGAGAGAGAGAGAGAGAGAGACAGGCACAGAGACACACAGGCAGAGGGAGAAGCAGGTTCCATGCAGGGAGCCTGACGTGGGACTCGATCCTGAGTCTCCAGGATCTGGGCTGCCCTGGCACTAGTCTTTGTGGATGGCAGGAAGGTGAGTTGTGGGAAGCCCAGATGAACCAGGGGTTGCTCCAAAAAGAAGGAGCCTTATCTCTGAATCCCAAGTTGGGACATTCAAGTAATCATGGCTCTTCTCCAGGGGCAAGTGTCTTCTGACTTACTTTTGTATCTGAATCCACTGGAGGCTCACATTTTTAGAGTGAGAGTTTAATGGGGGCAGCCCATTTGAATCTGCTTTGCTGTCACCATTGCCTGAGTGTTGGTTCCTTAGACTGAGGAGGTCCTGAGCAGTGAAGCAAATACAAGTCCAGTACACAAGTCTCAGGCACAGCTTCCACTTGATCCTGAAGGCAGTGGCAGTCCAACTTGTCACTGTTACTAACACTGTCACACAGGCCTGTGCAGAGTGCCTGGTCAGTACCTGTTGATTACAAAGCCCCTTTTCCTCTTGTTCCTTCCCTCATGGAGCTCATAACATGGTAGAAAGGGTGGCTTGGCTTCCTTCCAAATTTTTAAAGAACCCCTGGTGCAGTGTAAGTATATTATTTCATGGAGCAGAATCTCAAATGGAACAGATTTCTCCAAATACAAAGCCAAGGAGAATCTAGTCAACGAGATTTATAACACAAAGACAAGGAGAACTGCTTTGGGACCTAGAAAGGGACTTGATTTCACTTAGTGCCTGCTGTGTACCAGATGCTGGCCTCCCAATACTTTTGTGGGGTCAGGATTTTGCTCCCTGTTTTATAGATGATGGCTTACAATGTTTGTTCCTGCAGCTAGTATGGGGCATTTCTGGGACCTAGCTTCTTCCTGGTCAACAGGGCTCCAAAGACTGGCTTTCTCACTTCATGTAGACCTCTGCATTGCATTTCTCTAGGTCTACTGCCCACTCTGAACCACTCCAAACCAGGCTGTTGTTGGACGCCAGTGGCATACCTTCCATACCCAGACCCATGGTCCTTTGGTAAACCACTCACCAGTGTTGATTTTCCTGCTGTTACCGATCTTATCTCTGTTCTCCAAACAGATATGAGAAGATGACCAGCGGGATGTATCTGGGGGAAATTGTGCGGCAGATCCTGATTGACCTGACCAAGCAGGGTCTTCTCTTCCGTGGGCAGATTTCAGAGCGTCTCCGGACCAGGGGCATCTTTGAAACCAAATTCCTGTCTCAGATTGAAAGGTGATATGTGATCAAGTTCACCAGCTCAGTGTGGGAGGCCCTGATTGGGATGTGCTGCTGTAAAGTGGGGGTCCAGCAGCAGACGTGAGATTTAGAAATAAAACCAGTAAAGGATCTGACAGGATGAGGGGTTTCCTCCTAGAGCTGCTCTGTCTATCTAGCTGCATCAGGACCACAGCACACAGCCAAAGGGCCAGCTGTGTTCCTGGGCCCTCAGGTGCCTAAAGTGTTACACAGCAGTTAGGTGAGGCTAAAAAATGATCCTTCTTTGTTCCTAAAAAGATGATGTGTCCGTAATATGAAAGAAAACTCTCTTAAAAAATAACCCATAAGCTCAGGATTAAATACAGTTGTTTCGATTTTTGTATATTCCCTTTCAAGTTTTTAAATGTGTGTAAACTTATTTTCATAATTGCAATCATACCACACATATCATTCTGTATATTGTTTGTTTAGTGTTCGTACATGATAATTTTCAGTTACAATTCTGAGGTTTTTTTTTTCTTAAGCATATATAGGAGTAGAGGGAATGGTAAAATGAATCTAACGTTTGCATCACCACCTTCAACAATGGTCAACTTGTGGCCAAACTTGGTCTGTCAATATACTCCTGCTTTCCCCACCCCCAAATTGGATTAATTTGAAACAAATCTCACATTTTGTGTCAGTGTATCTATAAATATTTTAAGTTGTATTGCTAAAGTATTATTTCTTTAAAAAAATAACCTTCTACTCCTGAAACCAATATTATTACACTATGTTAACTAGAATTTAAATAAAAATTTGAAAAAAAACAAAAAAATCCTTAAAAACAATAAAAAATGAACATATTTTCATCACCACACCTAAAATAGTTAATAATAAACCTTAATCTCAAAATATCCTGCCAGTGTTTCTATTTTCCGGATTGCCTAAAAATATGTTTTTTACAGTTCATTTGTTTGTAACAATATCTAAACAAGGTCCATTCCATGCATTTGGTGATATGTCTTTTAAAAATCTCTTTTAATGTATAGACTTCTCCTCTTGTTTCCCTTTGGGATACATTTGATGAAGAAATTGTCATTTTATCCTAGAAGTTTCCTGTGTTCTAGATTTTGCTGGTTATAGCATTTAGCATTTTCCTCTCCCTTGTATTTCTTGCAAACTCATAGGAAGACCCAGATGCCTGGTTAGATTCAGTGCTGAAGTTTGGACAAGAATATTTCATAGGTGGCATTGAACTGTCTGTTTGTCTTTTATGATGTTAGCAGTCATTGATGCTCATTGTCTCCATCTGTGATTGTAAAACAATGCCAGGTTAATGCTAACACTCCTGCATTTTTTAGCTGGAATACTTCTAGAAAGAGAAACTTACCCATCTCGACTCTTTGGTAGAATTATCATTTTAAATGGCTGTGTAATGTTACGTTATATTGCTATACTGTAATTTGCTAAACTTTCCCTTTAGTATAAGATGTCTAGCTTATAATTTATGAATTTCTGCAATTCTCAGTAACACCATAATTATTCTTTTTGTGTTTTCCTTTGCATCTCACAAATTATTTCCTTAGAAGTAGAAGCATTTCCCTACGGACACGCTTTTAAAAAGATAGTTCCAGTTTCCATCACCACAAATGTGTCAGTTTCACTGCTTTTCCTACCAGCACTGGTTCCTATCAGAGACTTTGTATTTGGAATTTCTGTCAATTTGCATTCATTCATTTAATTTTACTGGTCTCTATGGCTTGATGCCAGGAGCCAGAAATCACTTTGAGAAAAAAGGAAAACTCTTTAAAACCGAAAGCAGTGTACTTAATGAGAGAAATCAGATGGACTTTTGCAGAGTAGATCTTGCTGTCTAAGGAGATGGTGATAGATTCAGTAGCAGCAGCAGCAATTTTGTGTTTTTGAAGAGTTGGTAAGCAAATATCCAGCATCCTTTTTTTTTTTTTTTTTTTTGTCTGGCTTCAACCCATTGGATTCAAAAGTGTAATTTAATAATCATCACCTTTGATGACCAGAGGGATCCTCTTTTGCTGTGGGGGCAAAGCAAATGGTTTCTTCCTCATGTATGAGAGATGAGCAGATTGACCATGTTTGCCTTGCTTTTTCCCCCCCGAATACAAAGGAGGATGTTTTTGGACAAGAGAAAGTTAGCAGAACCTATGTGCCTCCAGAAGTCTTTACTTCTGCCACACAAAAGATATCTGCTTTGGGTGCTATGCTGACTGTGTCCCATTTCAAAGCACATTGTCCAATGGATTCAACAGGGATTGCCGGGGGGAATCCTGGATTTACAGTCTCCGAGCTTGAGTTTAAGATGGCTTATGCTGTGTGACCTGAGGCAAGTTGCTTTACCTCTCTGGACAACAATTTCTTTCCTTATAGAAGATAAATGGTCTACTGCTTAACCCTAGTGATCAACCCCAGGGTCAACTAAGGCAATGTATGTGTAAGAACTAGGTAAACTGTGACAGGATAGACTGTGGAAGGAATTTCAGGTTTTATTATCTTACACACTGAAAAAAAATCCACTTTTTTTTTCATCTTATACAAATATTACTCATTCATAAGCAAAAGGAAGGGGCACCTGGCTGGCTCAGTCAAAGAGCATGTGACTCTTGATCTCCGGGTCATGAGTTTGAGCCCCATGTTGGGTGTAGAGATGAATTAAATTAAAACAAAACAAAACAAGCAAAAAGAAGAAAGTAGGAACTACTGGTAATCCTACCAGTATCTGAATAGATTTCCTTCTGCTCTGATTTTTTTTTCTTAACAAAGACAAACATTCAAAAATAAAAACCAATAGAACTCCAATAAAAAAATACAAAAAAACCCCAAAACAAAAATAAAAACCAAGATCATATGGCACATAGTATTTTATAATCTATTTTTTCACTTACTACATAATGAATATTTGCCATAGCATTAAATATTCTCATGCAAACTCATCTTAGGGTCTATAAAGGATTCTATTATCTGACTACACCACTGTTTACTTACCTGACGAATCCTCTATCTAGCCAACAGGTTATTTCTCAGTTTTTCTCCCTTTTTTTTTTTTAAGATTTTGTTTATTCATGAAAGACACACAGAGAGAGGCAGAGACACAGGCAGAGGGAGAAGCAGGCTCCCCGCAGGGAGCCCAATGTGGGACTTGATCCCTGCACCCGGGATCATGCCCTGGGCCAAAGGCAGATGCCCAACCGCTAAGCCACAGAGGCATCCCAGTTTTTCTCCCTGATAACATTCTTCTTCCCTAAGTATTCCCTGAGACAGCCAGGGATATAATTTTACATTGTTTCACTTAGGAGTCAGAGCCTGAGAGTTCACCATGAGATGAGTGTCTAGACTCGAGGCCAGCCTGTACCCATGACCGGTGCTCCTCTGCCATGTGCTCATGTGCTTGTGGTTCCAGGGGCTGGTTCCTGCTCACTAAGGGGCTGATTGTACATTGTTATATTCACTTCCCCATTGAGTGCACACAGCCCTATGCTGGCTACTGTTGAGAATACAGCCTTACTCTCAAAGAGCATGTAGTCTAGCTGGGAAGAGAAAGCAGAAAATCAGAAGAAGCTAAATAGAAGGAAAGTTGGCTTCTAGTTGAATGGGGCCAGAGCAAGGAGAGCTGGCCTGCTCAGTGGGGGAGGTGGAGGTACTTGGTTTAAGAAAGCATGTGCTTGGGTCCCTGCTCTCTGTTGTCTGTGGGTAAGTCTCCAGCACTCTGAACCTCAGATTCCTCTCCTGAAAATGCACACCTGATGTGTTGGTTGCTGAATCTAATAATAGTTTCTAGTGAGATAATAGATTTGTACATGCCTAACACTAACAGTCCTCATACTTTCCTTTTTAAAGATGGTGGGACTTCCAGGAGTGTGTGTCAGGCTTTCTTGAGTCCTGGCTTCTTTGGCATTCTGCTCTAACTCAACTATTGCCTGGATCATCTTTTCCTCCTTCCTCCTAAGGCTTCTGAGGATAGGGGGTACTGTGAGCCATGCTGAGCAGGTTCCAGGGCCCCAGGTTCTGATGTCCTGCTCTGCTTGCCTGCAGCGATCGGCTAGCCCTCCTCCAGGTCAGGAGTATCCTGCAACAGCTTGGCCTAGACAGCACATGTGAGGACAGCATTGTGGTGAAGGAGGTGTGCGGAGCTGTGTCCCGGCGGGCGGCCCAGCTCTACGGTGCAGGCCTGGCTGCTGTCGTGGAGAAGAAGAGGGAAGACCAGGGGCTTGAATACCTCAAGATCACTGTGGGAGTGGATGGCACCCTGTACAAGCTGCACCCACAGTGAGTGCCCCAGAGAGGTGGGAATGGGAGGGCTCCAAGGCGAAATATGGATCCCATTGAATCTAGCAGATAAGATGTGAGCCCTTGGGGCTCTGTTTCTGAGTGGTCAGCATGTAGGAGTGTTGGCCGTCCTCTCTGAAAGCCATGTTTCTCTAGGCAGTAATAATCTCTGCCTCACAGGGCAATGAATACAAGTGATTATTAGTAATGTATTCCCACCTGACCTCACGGGGAAGTAATGCGAACTGAATATTTTGCACAGCACAGAGCATTTGTCAAGTATGAACTGGTTATAACTTTCTTAGCTCAGAGTCAGTAGACAGAAGGATTAATGTGACTTTGAATTCTGGCTCCACCACTTAGAAGCTGTGAGACCTAGGGCTAGTTTCTTACCTTCTTTGAGCCTCAGTTCGAAATCTATAAAATGATGACAAAGATCTTACCTACCTCAGAAGTTGTCATGAAGACTCAGTTAAATAGTATCTATAGAGTGCATGGCACATCACAAAAAAGTCAATGATTAAAGCTATTGTTATTTTTTGAAAGCTATTATTGTTATTTAATATTTAACATTTTGTTTTGGTGAAGAGGAAAAATATTAACAAGCTTATAAAAATTTCAGTCATACTGAAACACATACATGAACATCCTGTTATTGTAATCCTTAATCGTTAGCTCTTCTTGTGCAGATGACTATCCAAAAGAATGGATTGTGTCTTTTCTTGTTTTTCCCTTTGGAATAACTTATTTTTGATGTGGTTCCTATAAGCTTCTTCTTAAACCAAGACTTGACCAAGGCACAAAAGCCACATGATCATTTCTTTTTTGTTTTTAAAAATATTTTATTTATTTAAGAGTGAGCGAGAGAGTGAGCCAGTAGGGGGATGAGCCAAGGGGGAGAGAGAGGGACAAACAGACTCTGTACTGAGTGCAGAGCCTGATGGGGGCTTGATCTCATGACCTTGAGACCATGACCTGAGCCAACTGAGCCACCCAGGGATTCACTAATAATTGTTTTTAAGCTGTTGTTTATTACACTTTGACTGTATGTATATTATGTATGTAAAACACCTAGTATAGTCTCTGGCATTTGTAGTTGCTCAATAAAAGGTACAATTAAAACAGCTATTTAGGAAGCAGTTTAGGAAGCTCTTCTAGAGTCTTAAGAAGCAAGCCAGAAGGAGCAAACCAGATTGGAATCATTCAGAAATATGTTAGTCCCATATGTAAGTGGTGATGATGCTTCTCTCTCTCTCTCTTTATAGCTTTTCCCGGATATTGCAGGAAACCGTGAAAGAACTAGCACCTCGATGTGATGTGACGCTCATGCTGTCAGAAGATGGGAGTGGAAAGGGAGCCGCTCTGATCACTGCTGTGGCCAAGAGGTTACAGCAGGCACAGAAGGAGAACTAGGAACTCCCTCGGGGTTGGGCCGGACGTGCCTTGGATACCGACCAGCCTTTCCTCCGGCAGATGAATTGGTCAGGGACCAAGAGGCAAGCTTCTAGCTGACTTCACATTCTGAATGGCCGAAAGAGAACCCCGTGTTCTCGGTACTCTTAGCATTTTGTTACTCAATGTTGTTTTCAGGGGCATTAAATGACATCTCTGGTTGGCATATTTGGGCCAAAGATGGGCTAATTTGTAAAATCAAAGCAATTGGACCCGAGAGATTCCGCTTTTAGCAAATTGTTTGGTTGAGGCCTGGGCTGTTCATTCTCTATGGCTTTTGGTCCTGTGGCTGTTGGACTTGGAAACATAAACACAATCTGCCCACATGGCCTGGCTGACTGAGCTCCCCACTGGGATGCTTTAGCCATTGCTTGTAGTAGGTTGGGTCCTCTCTTGTGACTCCACATTTGAGAAAGATACTCATGTAATAAACTGGAGATCTACTCTAACTTGTCCATACCACATCACCCTGACTTAGAACATGAAAAGACAACAAAGACTTTGGACTATCGGCCCCAAGATGAAGAAGGGTTGGTTGCCAGGCAGCCCTGCAAGAATCTTTTCATGCTTAAAGTGAGTTATGTAAGCACCTGTGAGATTTTGTTTTTCAGTATGTGTGTGTGATGGGGAGGGGTGCTGTTTGGGGCACCTGCTTTCATTTTACACGTGGTTCGTGTGGCTGCTGTGGATAGTTGTTTTAAGGACTATTAGGTATACGAAATCCAGTAATTGAATAAAAAATATTTGATTTCCTAAGAATCTTTGCATGAGGTATCAATATTTCATTTGGGAGGCTTGCTTGCTGACTTCATGCTCTGCTAGTGGATTAAGGGACACAGAAGTTTCTGAGGGATCACTCTAGCCAAAGTTCTTCCCAACAGCAAGGGGAAATATATGGAGTATCTTCTCTAATACCTTACCAGTTTATCCAAATCTCATTTGAGCAAATACTCTCCATGACTAGGCATTTACCTCATGATCCTATAGCTCTTGCTTTTGAACAGCTAAAGTTGACTGGAGGTCCTTTTGACTTCCAAGCTGACTTCTATGTCGCTGGAACTCAGCCCTCCCCACATGCCCATTAGCCTGCCTTCTACCCCTCCAGAACTAAGTGGAATTGGGCTGTCCCTGACCATTTCCCCAGTGAATGTCCTCTCTTTTTCTCTATCCACCCATCCCATTAACCCAAACCACCTGTGACTTCCTACCTTGTCACAGAGTTTACCTGTGTTTCTCCTCTGGCCTAATAGACTGAAAGCCCTTTGTTAAATGCATTTTTGTGTTGCTCCAGTGAACCCAGGACTATGCTGTTTCTTATTAAACACTTACTGGATGGAGGCATGATTGAAAAATGAAGTGTTCCAAGAAATTTTGTTTGGAAAAAAGTAGAGGCCATTATCATGGGCTACAGAGTGAAAAGAATGATATCCCAGATCACCCAGATTGATTTTATTTTGATTTATGTACTTAATTCCTTGTGATAATTGTCACCATTTGTTGAAGCAGGATGTTTAGGCAGACAGAATGGAGGAGGCTCAGGGAGCATAAGAGAGGGGCTGGCTGGGGCTGGGGGTAGATGAAGAGCTGAGGTTCCCTAGGAAATAGTTTTTTGTACATTCCGTAAGCATGTAGAGAGATACTGTTGTGGGTGGGTCCTAGATTTAGCAAAATGATTTTTTTTTAAATTTTAAGGTTATACCTCTCTGGGGAGATGTTGTATGGATTTATTAAATTTATCTTTTTTATATTGAAGTTATATTTCTTCAGGGAAATATTTTCCCTTATCAGATTTTGTCTTAGTCCCAAACCTTATTGTCCTTATCTCTCCTCAGGAAGACATGCCCAGTCCCCAGTCCCTGTTCCTCCTGGTTCTGCTGGAAGTCTCTCTCTTTGCCCTTCTGCCTGGATGGGTGATTTGGCCCAGAGATGCAGGCAGTCGTGCCATCACATTGTCCCACACCTGGTCTTTTACCACGTGTTTCGCAGGTTTGAGGAGTTCACCCAGCTCTGATCTTTTACAAGAAAAAGAACCTCCAAGGTATCTAAGCAACCTTACACATTCTGACTAATTGATAGCATCATAGAATCTTTGAATCAGAACGGAACTGCAGAGGGAGCATACATCCATCTTGCTGTCTTTGGACAGGCCAGCCCCTGAAACACCAGGGACCATGGAAGGCTAACTTCTCTTCATAGTTTACTAGGCAACACCAGCAATCACACCGACAAGGTAAACTGTCCTCCTCTGGACCTCAGACTTTTTCCCTTAGGAAGGGCATCTTAGTTGATATTTTCTACCCTGTGGTTAGTTTCTCTCAGTCACCTCTTAGTTAAAAAGAGCTGATAGATTTAAGAACTAGATTTTCCCCATGACTCTGACTCTCCAGAACACATGACCTCATTCCCATTTGTCTGTCTTCAGAAATCTTGTTTTCTTCTCATTAGCTGGAATGGGTGCTCTATGAGAATAAGGACTTGGATCTTATCTTTCCTGTTTTCCCCAGAGGCTACCCCAGTGGCTGGCATTGAATAGCCATTAGATAATTCTCTAAATGGATGAATGAATGAATCCTCAAACAAGTATGTGAATGAATTTATTACTCTCCTTTGAGTCTTTTCATTTTTTAGCTTTCCCCAATGGGACCTGAGCCTTATACACATTAGACATTCTATAAATGATTGCTCAGTGAATGCCAAGCTCTGTTCTAGGTGCTGAGGATCCAAAGGAATAGAAGATACCACTCCTGCTTTATTAGAATTCACATGCTAACAAGGAAGGAAAGACACATAAATACCTGCAATACAATATGGTGAACAAGAACAAGAGGAGAACACAATTCCTGACCATCCTTTAGGTCAGGAACTCTTGTGTGGGAGTGTGAGTGTGTACATGTGTATACATGCACATATATGTACACATGCACCATAAACCCCTTTGGTAATCGTACAGAACCTATAGATTCTTTCTTATAATGCCGCTTTTTAAAAGAGATTTATTTATTTATTATTTATTTATTTATTTATTTATTTATTATTTATTTATGAGAGAGAGAGAGAGAAAGAGAGAGAGACCGTGCATGGTGGAAGGGTGGGCAGAGGGAGAGGGAGAGAGAATCTTGAGCAGACGCCATGCTGAGTGTGGAGCCTGATGTGGGGCTCAGTCTCACGACCCCAAGATCATGACCTGAGCCAAAACTGAAGTCAGCCGCCCAACCAACTCTGCCACCCAGGTGCCCCTCATGATGCTTCTAAATGCCTAAAAATACATAGGAGTACAAAGGAAATCAATGGTATTGAATTACAATTATTAAAGTGGTGATTAACATGTGTACTTATTTTTTTAATGCACTGTAATGAGATGCACCAGGAACCTAATAACAATTGTAATTCTGAAATCCTGATGAGTGTAAACAGTATTGTGAGACATTTGCAATAATATAACACATATATATGGGATCCCTGGGTGGCGCAGCGGTTTGGCGCCTGCCTTTGGCCCAGGGTGCGATCCTGGAGACCCGGGATCGAGTCCCACGTCGGGCTCCCGGTGCATGGAGCCTGCTTCTCCCTCTGCCTGTGTCTCTGCCTCTCTGCCTCTCTCTCTCTCTCTCTCTCTGTGACTATCATAAATAAATAAAATATATATATATATATAACACAGATATGAAGATGTCCATGGTTTCTCCTGAAAACAAAATCCCAGGTGCTGCTGCCACTACTATGGTTTGTTGCCCACATTCAAAATGGAAGGAAATGCTAAATTTCAATTAGAGGTGATTGAAAATAAGTCCCAAAGAAGTTCATGGACACATTGGGAGTCTCCCCCTCAGGGTCTAGGTTAATAACGATCGAAATGTCCTACTATGTGTGGCACTTAATTAGGGCTAGCATCTTAGATGGCAGAGAGACAGTATGGTTTGGACTCAGAAGAATCAGGCATGCTATTCCATCTTTCTGAACTTCAATTCTCTCACATAAGAATGGAGGATATAGTATAACAGCCTAACAAGGTTATACAAACTGCACAACCTAAATATGTGGACACAGGGATAAGCTATGAGCCACTTGTACATGTGTGAGTAGTTGTATTATGATTGTTGCTACTGTTAGGCAGCCTGTCTTATTTTTAATTTTAATTTTTAAAAAGATTTTGTTTATTTATTCATGAGAGAGGCAGAGACACAGGCAGAGGGAGAAGCAGGCTCTTTGCGGGGAGCCTGATGGTGGACTTGATCCCAGGACTCCAGGATCATGCCCTGAGCCCAAGACAGATGCTCAACCACTGAGCCACTAAGGTGTCCCAGGAGGCCTGTCTTATTGATATGATCACCTTGAACATCAACCTGCAAGTCCTCCCAAGCCGACTGTGCAGACATGTGGGTGGGTGAAGAATGGCAACTGGGGGAAATGCATTTCTCACAATCCCTTCCTTCCACCTCCACTATCTTGATGTACTTTCTCTCTTGCTGTTTCACAGTTGAAACTCCTCGTGGACCATGTTTTATCAGAGGAAGGGTGGGACTCAGGCCACGTCAGGGACTACAGAGGGATCTGGTATCTCCTTTCTGGGGTGAACTAAGAGGGACAGTTAGGATTAGGAGAAGAGTTGACTTCCTTTCTGACTTCCTTTCTTTCCAGCCAGGGAAGGCTAAAAATCTTCCAGTTATTGCTGTTCAATTTACCAATATGAAAGAAAGATAGTGAGAAGGTAGGCTATTGATAATTTAGGAAGTCAGAATGGTTTGGGGATTGACCTAAAATATAAGGATGCATGAACAGCACAGGGGCTCTTCCAGGGGGTGCCATTCACATCACTGTCCATGGCGCGGTTCCTCCTGAGTCCCCTCTGTGACAGCTCGCATGGTCTAGAGTGGCCTTTCATAGAGTCGACTGGGCTGGAGTCATTCTTTCCTTTAATACTCAGATAAAAACGATTCAGTTCCCCATCCCACATACTGCAGAGA